CGGGGACTGGTGAGTGTCAGCACCACAGTCCAGGATGAGACAACGAACATCCAAGAATATATTGGGAAGTTGGCGCCAACTGACCGAGTGCTCAGTGAATACCTCAGGCAGCAAAAACCCAAGAAAGAGGAGGGAGACGAGGAACCATCATGGAAGGACAGGCCCCTGCACGGTATGTACCACCGGCAGATAGAGGGGGTGGCTGATATCCAGAAATCCTACCAGTGGCTGGACAAAGCTGGACTGAAAGACAGCACAGAGGCACCAATCATGGCAGCACAAGAACAAGCTCTGAGCACAAGATCCATAGAGGCTGGGGTCTATCACACCAGGCAAGACCCCAGGTGCAGGCTGTGTAAAGATGCCCCAGAGACAATCCAGCACATAACAGCAGGGTGCAAGATGCTAGCAGGCAAGGCATACATGGAACGCCATAACCAAGTGGCCGGCATAGTGTACAGGAACATCTGTGCCGAGTATAACCTGGAAGTCCCGAGGTCAAAATGGGAGATGCCCCCAAGGGTGGTGGAGAATGACCGAGCTAAGATCCTGTGGGACTTCCAGATACAGACGGACAAAATGGTGGTGGCTAACCAACCGGACATAGTGGTGGTAGACAAACAGAAGAAGACGGCCGTAGTGATCAATGTAGCGGTTCCGAATGACAGCAATATCAGGAAGAAGGAACACAAGAAGCTGGAGAAATACCAAGGGCTCAGAGAAGAGCTCGAGAGGATGTGGAGGGTGAAGGTAACAGTGGTCATACTGGTAATCGGAGCACTAGGTGTGGTGACTCCCACCAGCAGATCCAAGGAACAACATCAGAGATCTCTGTCCAGAAGAGCGCAGTCCTAGGAACAGCTAAGATACTGCGCAGGACCCTCAAGCTCCCAGGCCTCTGGTAGAGGACCCGAGCTTGAAGGATAGACCGGGGGATATAGAGAGATAGATAGATAGATAGATAGATAGATAGATAGATAGATAGATAGATAGATAGATAGATAGATAGATAGATAGATAGATAGATAGATAGATAGATAGATAGATAGATAGATAGATAGATAGATAGATACACACACACACACACAGTGGGGCAAAAAAGTATTTAGTCAGCCACCGATTGTGCAAGTTCCCCCACCTAAAATGATGACAGAGGTCAGTAATTTGCACCAGAGGTACACTTCAACTGTGAGAGACAGAATGTGAAAAAAAAAAAAAATCCATGAATCCACATGGTAGGATTTGTAAAGAATTTATTCGTAAATCAGGGTGGAAAATAAGTATTTGGTCAATAACAAAAATACAACTCAATACTTTGTAACATAACCTTTGTTGGCAATAACAGAGGTCAAACGTTTACTATAGGTCTTTACCAGGTTTGCACACACAGTAGCTGGTATTTTGGCCCATTCCTCCATGCAGATCTTCTCGAGAGCAGTGATGTTTTGGGGCTGCCGCCGAGCAACACGGACTCACAGTAGGTATGGTGTTCTTGGGATGCAACTCAGTATTCTTCTTCCTCCAAACACGACGAGTTGAGTTTATACCAAAAAGTTCTACTTTGGTTTCATCTGACCACATGACATTCTCCCAATCCTCTGCTGTATCATCCATGTGCTCTCTGGCAAACTTCAGACGGGCCTGGACATGCACTGGCTTCAGCAGCGGAACACGTCTGGCACTGCGGGATTTGATTCCCTGCCGTTGTAGTGTGTTACTGATGGTGACCTTTGTTACTTTGGTCCCAGCTCTCTGCAGGTCATTCACCAGGTCCCCCCGTGTGGTTCTGGGATCTTTGCTCACCGTTCTCATGATCATTTTGACCCCACGGGATGAGATCTTGCGTGGAGCCCCAGATCGAGGGAGATTATCAGTGGTCTTGTATGTCTTCCATTTTCTGATGATTGCTCCCACAGTTGATTTTTTCACACCAAGCTGCTTGCCTATTGTAGATTCACTCTTCCCAGTCTGGTGCAGGTCTACAATACTTTTCCTGGTGTCCTTCGAAAGCTCTTTGGTCTTGGCCTTGGCGGCGTTTGGAGTCTGACTGTTTGAGGCTGTGGACAGGTGTCTTTTATACAGATGATGAATTCAAACAGGTGCCATTCATACAGGTAACGAGTGGGGGACAGAAAAGCGTCTTACAGAAGACGTTACAGGTCTGTGAGAGCCAGAGATTTTCCTTGTTTGAGGTGACCAAATACTTATTTTCCACCCTAATTTACGAATAAATTCTTTACAAATCCTACCATGTGGATTCATGGATTTTTTTTTCACATTCTGTCTCTCACAGTTGAAGTGTACCTCTGGTGCAAATTACTGACCTCTGTCATCATTTTAAGTGGGGGAACTTGCACAATCGGTGGCGACTAAATACTTTTTTGCCCCACTGTATATATATATATATATACATATATATATATATATATATATGTGTGTGTGTGTGTGTGTGTGTGTGTGTGTGTGTGTGTGTGTGTGTGTGAAACCCCATCAAAATCCATACCACATGTGAATAATCCAATCAGAGCATAGGAACACAGTCTATGGCTGAGCACTGCTCACCTGTTAGAGTGAGATAAACAAAGACATGAAGCCAAATTGTACTTGTTAAATAGCTGGTCTGCCTTTATTAAATATTCTTTGAAAAAAATTCATGAAATAATAATGAAAGCAGAGGGTAAAATATGAAGACTGAAAAAATATTGCTGTTAAGGCATCACTTACATGAACATTAATATGTAGCATCATATCTAAAACAGCAACCTCTGGTGACCAAACTGATGTTCATCCACAACCCCAGAGACCATGATGGAGGAGTCTAAAGTGGTGTGGATCCAGGTCGTAGCAACAATGTAGCAGGTCTGACCTCTAACACATTGTGCTGCTAAACTCTGCACTGTGCTGCACAAATGTGCAAATGAAGAGATAAGCTGACACCTGCCTTTTCAACTGAGTTGATTTAATCTCCCAAAACTGTTTAATTAAAAGATTAATTAAGTAAAATTACTTCATACTGTATGACTTAGCCTTTATCGGCATTCCTTTCCTCCTGTTTGAAGGTGCAACACCAAAATAAATGGGAGTAAGTCTCTGGGAAGATCTCTCAAAAAGAGCAAAATATATCTGATTTATTCACAAATTTTTAAAGTTTGAAGTCTCTTTGTTTGTTTATTATGAAGGTAAAAACTTTGAATTAATTTAAATAAAACCTAATTGACAGAAGTTTTTTGTAGCAAAGAATCAAATCCATCAATAATGAAATTGATAGATGAACACAGATCAGCACCTCTTCAAAGTGTTACCTAATTTTGGCATTCATGTTTCCATGGGAGGAGAAATGGGACCTAATGAAGATTCTTCAGGAGGAGACATAGACAAGGGTGATGAAGGGATGAGAAAGGATTCCATCAGAATCAATGAAGATCTATTTTAGGTTTAGTGGGGTGTTGTACCTGTTTAGGAGCTCTTAGTAACTGTATAATAACTTACAAAGAGTACACACCGGCTCACTCCTTGGCGGCCGCTTATCGGGGCCTGGAGCCTGGGGCTAGCTCGGGCCACTTCGGAGGTGGGGTGCCCCCGGCCTCTCGGCCTGGGGCTCGGTCACTCAGGCGCAGCTGGCTGCCGGCGGAGCTCACGGGCGCGTCACTGCAACTCCCCCTGGCTTCTGCTCCGCGGCTGCTGAGTGAGCCCTCATCTGGGACTCTCCTCAGCTCTTTCCGGGACAGTGGCGCAGCTGCCCCTCTGTTGGTCTTCCTTGGTCTCTTGTGTTCTGGGGCCTCTGGATGTCTGGAGTTTTGATCTCCTCCATACCTGCTTCATACCCTGGAGGACGGGGCTGTGGCCCCCCCACACCCTCTAGCAGATTATTACATGAAGGAACCTTTTAAAAAACAAGCGTGTCCATGCTCACAGGTGTACACACGGGTGATCACACCCACAAACTACACCCTTTTTGGCTCCTACCTCAAAGCACACTGTGTTCTGTTGATCTTATGTGCTGCACAATAATGTTTAATATTTAGTATTTACTGTCATATTCCCATATATCATTGTGATGTTGTTTATTCTATTACTCTTGTTCTCTTCTGCTTGCTTTCTTTTTTCTTTCTCAGCAGGTGACCCAGGTGATTGATATATGCATTTTTTTTTCTCTGCCCGTTCTGTTGGTTTTTGGTTTTTGCCCTTCTGCCCCGTCCCTCTTCTCAGCTGTTTCTCTTTCCCTCTTTCTTTCTCCCCTTCTTTCCCCCAGTCAAGTCTGTCCCGTATTCAGTAAGTGAAAATAAAATAAACAATAAAAGGTGAATCAAATGGACCATTACTGCAAGGCTGGGATGGTCAGTTTGGTAAAGTAAATCCGTTGGGCATCTTTCTTTGCCTTTAGACAACAATTCTGATGGCAAAAGAGCCAAACGGGACAGGCAAAAAAAAAAAAAAAAAAAAACAACTTACAAAGAGTTTCCCTTGCTGTTACAACAACAGGCCCCCATTACTTTACATCTGCCCTCATTACTGTACAAGTTCACTCATTCAGCCAACTAATACTGCCATCTTCTGGTGAAAAAGAATATAGTTCTACGATGACATCAGGTAAGAGAAAATGGGCTTTGCATCAGTGACACAACATTGCCTTTGCAACAAAATTCAGAAAGAAATAGGGGGGATTACAGTCACAGTAAAACTCCTTCAGTATAAACTCAGAAATTTATTTTATTGTTAAACTTAATATTAATAAACGTTTTATTAAGTTATCAAGTTAATGAATTATTAAATTATTAAACTTAAACAATTTAGCAATTTACAATATGTAAACTAAACAGTTGGGCAGCCTTCTCTTCAAAGAAGAGAACTTTTATTTAAAAAATCTAAACTTATATTAAAATATTCAGGGCACCACAAGCCATTTACTCAGATTCATGCGTGAGCAGCATTTTATTGGTAAGTCTGGTTCATGTTGTTCAACCACTGGCCAAAATAATGGAGTCACCACATAGAAGATATTCTTTCAGCTTCTTTACTTTGCAAATTAAACAAAGACATGAAACCAAATTGTTTTTGTTGAATAGCTAAATGGTCTGCCTTCAAATTTTTTACATTAATAATAATAATGAAAGCAGAGGGTAAAATATGAGACCATTAAAAAAAAAATCACAATTGTGACTTTATTGTACATTCTCTGGCTTTTGTGTGCCCTTTATATGAACTGTTTGAAACATGGACTTCATCAGCAGCTGACATTTGACTTATTTCTGCTCAGGTACTTATAAACACAAGCACAACTAAAGCAACACAGTGAGCAATGTTGCTTTTAACAATAATAGCTTTCAGTTAAAACAATGCATGAAAACAAAGTTCACTTTAAGAATTTGAAAATCTCTAAATAAAACTTTTAAAACCGTTTGGAAATAATCGCTCCTGCTGCAGCTGTCACACAGTGGGCAGGTTGCCAGTCTGAAGTAAAGGCATAAAAATAATTAATGGGACATCAGCATAATTCAAGACTTTGTGGAAACATTCATAAAGAAGTTAGAAACGCTTCCTGTTAAAGGTGAGTGATGTAAAAGATACCTACTTATATCATTCTTGTATTTTCAGATTACAGTGCTTCACATTTTATCTGAACAGCATGCGTCGGGTGTGTTAGAAGATCAAAGATTTCCCAAATTATGTAAAAAGGGTGGATATTATAGTTTTGTTTAAGTCCTTATCACATTTTTAGACTAGTCCAAGCTGAAGAAAGGGGAAGAAAATACACCAGGTCAAGTTCACCAATTACCAAAACAGCAGTGTAAACACTCGGAAGTAGAGTCAAGAAACCTTTCCCAGAAGTACATAGGCAGAGTATGTTATTTTATGATTCATTGGGCAACGCTAGGTAATATGCTGAGCTAAACTAAGTAAACAAGGTTCTGCTCCAGCTTTCTGTTTAGGTTTTACCAGAATGACAATTCAATTCTAAAGGAAAGTCTGGTATGAGAGAAGAGTACATAAAGTCTGTGTTGTCTGCTACTTTCTGCGCCACACAGGTATTGATGTTTGTCTGGGAGCCACACCATCACTGCAGGGCATGTAGTGAGTGCTGGTTTTCAAACACACAGGAGTGAGTTTCAGACACACAAAGCAGAACTCTTTCTGACAGCGAGGACAGATGATGTTCTTGCAGCCTGTTTTGTCGTGCTCCACTATCTCACCACAGGTGGGACAGGCCCGGATTGAGGGACAGGCATCGACCCCCCGAACCTGAGGGAGATCAGTAGTCTTGCAGTTCTTGAGAACTTCGAGTTCGTGGTTTACGCAGCCATCATTATCACAGCGGTCTGATCGTGGAGCTCTACCTTTCCACGGCCTCAAACACTGGCAGCAGAACTCATACGCTTTGTTGTTGTCTGCTGTACAGATTGTGCACCTCACACTCAGGTTAGTCAGGTCCTCTCTCTCCACATAGGTTTTGCAACCAGGACACTGTTGTGAGAAAAATAAAAAAGAATAGTTTTAAATTTGAAAAGTAAAACATTTTGTGCTTTCCTCTGTATCTAGGATAAACTGTAGTCCCTTGGGCTGGAAAAGCCTGCATAAACCCAGCCCCACAAACTTTGCATGGAGAGTTGAGTTTAAAGGCTAGAAGGCCACACCCTGACAAGATCTCCAAACAGTGGTGATCTCGGCCAAACGCATCATTAGATCAGAGCTTCCTGACCTTTTGTGCATCTACACCAAGCGGTGCAAGACCAAAGCCAGGAAGATTATGATGGACCTCTCCCATCCCAACAATGGACTCTTCTCACTGCTGAGGTCTGGGAAGCGCTTCCGCTCCCTTAAGGCCAAAACAGAGACAATGAATTCTTCCCCCCGCAACTCGGGCCCTGAACCAGGTGTAGAACTGGACTCTGCTACATCACATCACTACACACACTCTGTTTATTTCTTCTTATAATTTCTTTCTTAAATTGTTATTTACATATTTTTTACTGTAAATTTCTAAATGTAAAATCTGTAAATTTTGTACATTTCTTTATTGTAGTTTAATGGTCGGACATTACACAGCATTTCACTACATGTCATTCTGTGTATAATTGAGCTTGTGACGAATAAAAATTGAATTTGAATTTGGAAAGGTGGGATCTCTCTGTGTAGAGTTTGTTTGTTTCCTTTTAGGTACTCCAGCTTCCCCTTACAAACCAAATTCGTGCTCATTCACCTATATTTGCATTTTCTTATTTCCAACTATATCTACTTTGTGGGATCTTCGACTTCTTGTGCATGTCACTTCTGGGAGTTTAAACATAAATTTTCAAGCAGGGAAGTTGAGTCGTCTTGCCCTGTGTCTTTCTGTCTTATGCCTGTTTGTTCATGATTGCTGAGTGGATTAGAAACACTCTCTATAGAAGACTTACTATTTTCAGTTCACAGTAGTCTCTGGCTGCCAGCTGGGCAATCTTCTCTTCAAAGTAGGCCATCTCTTCAACTGTCAGTGCTGCCAGCCTGCGCACCTCTGGATATGACCACACTTCACCACACTTCTCGTAGGTGTCCTCATTTAAAGCAGGACACTTAAATTTGTACTGGCCCTGCAGGGACACAAAAGGTTTAATCACCCGTAATGGGGAAGACATAGAGTGAGAAACTTTAAAAAAAAAAAAAGTTTAAAATGAAACAAAACAAAGTATTGTCTGGCAACAAAGAGCTTCATCATACAAAGTCCTATCGAACCAGATCAGGATGACAGTTTTTAAAATTAAGGGTGGCATTTCCATTTGACGTGTTTTCTATTTTGCGATTGTGACAGGTGAGACCTGAGTCTGGGAACCTCCCTTGGTAGGTGGAGCTGGTTTTTTGTCCCTTTCATAAGCTCAGATGTAGGCAATTAGGTTTTCTCTGGAGCAAACCTGAAGCTGCGAGTGCTTGGTCCAAGTTGGTGTTTTTAAATTTCTTTCCATGAAAGCTTGATGCGGGTCCCCCTAAACTTCTGTCAGAACGGTGGGAAACATTGCGTTCCCGTGAGAACAGTGTAGTGGACTTCACCGCCACTGACCCACATTTATTAAGGTGTGACGCGAACTTGTGGACAGAGTACCGAGCTGCTGCTTTGCCAGGTGGATTTCTGGCTGCGGGCGAAGGACCCGACACATCAGAGTGTTTTAATTTGTTTCATACTGGTGTAATTCGACAGACTGACTGCTGCGGCTGTCGATTTTGTTTGTTTCTTGTTTTATTTTTCTGTGTCAGTAGGCACCACAGAGATTGGTTCTTTTAGTATTTTAACCCCTTTATTTATATAGAGCGCTGCAGGGAAAACAAATCCTTTTTTGTCTCCCCGCTTTTGCATGCACAGCGGTGGGCCTGAGTGAAGACGGCACTGAAGATTTGCCTTTTTCTATAGTGTTTTGCCCATTTGGGGTCATGTGTGAGTTGCCGTCCCTTTTTATCCTGTGCTATGTCGATTTGTTCTTAAACGGTTCCCCGCAGCGCGTGTCCTGTCTCACGGGCAATCATACAGTTTTATCGTTTTTAATAAGGCAAAGTTTTTAATTGTTTTTGGGTGCCGCTGTTACACTGTTATTTTTATTTTGTATTAAAAATTAAACTATTTTTAACTGACTGTGCACCTACGGCTCTATCCTATTTTGAATGGGTACCTACCACGGGTCACACTGTAAACACTGACCAAACTTTGGAAAGGAAAAAGAACAAAAATGAAGACAGAAAGAAACCTGATCCAGCAGACTGCGGCACCATCCGGTCAGAGATTCCGCTGTGACGGCATGACCGCAGGACATCTCTGCTACGAGACTGTCATCACCGGCTGCACAAAACAAAGAGAAAGCACAACGAGTTTTATATCAACGTCACATACAGTCTGTATTTGACCAATAGGAAGAGTTGCCAAAATACTGAATATAAGTGCATTTTCCTTACATAAGCTAACACCGGCATAACACGTGTATAAAACTGCTTTAGTTGGGTTAACTGGTAAAAGTACAAACCGTTTATTTTAAACATATTTTAGTTCTTACATAATGGATCCAGCTCATCCCTCCTGTTGACAAATGTCAGCGTCGTATCGTTGGGGTCGTAGCTCTTGTCATCCTGATCTTGTGTCGTCATTCTGGTTCAGACGAGGAGGTTTGCTCTCTGTCCACAAATTTGATCTTGGTTTAAACACTACAAATGAAATTAGCACCGAGGATCTTGCTCTGTCTTCCTCTTTTAAAGCACCAAGATTCAGCAGCCCGTTTAACTTTCAGTTTCTCTGCGGCACTTACAACAAGTCACATGGTGCACGATAACAAGTTTGCATTCCCCTCTGATATATTCGCACTAAGTGTACAGTTAATCCTCACAGCTTTAAGTAGCCTACCATGTGGATATTAATTGTGGTTGTGATAAACAGTTGTGCGTTGGCTTCAAAAAAAGACACCAATTAATGCTAACATTTGATAAACAAACGCTCCCTGGTCACATGACAAACAAAGGTGGAAATCACCCCCTCATAATAAACATTTGTAAACACTTTTACGCAGACGGAGAACCAGAGATACTACCTTCAAAACAATAAAAAAAATAATTAAAAATAATTAGAAGATGAAGAATTTTGAGCGAAAGTGAAAGAATTTATCTGCTCTCTGACGTCAAACCTTGAAACCAAACAGCTGTTCGCACTGACATATCAGTGACAGACTTTAGAAGCGCAACAAATCGGACTTAAGCGCAAAATGGGAAAAATCTACCAGGTGGTCGTTCATGGACTAAGGGGTCAGAAGATGATGTTGGACCTGTGCAACACCGAGGAGCAGTTTAAGAGCATGACCGTGAAACAGCTCAAGGAAAAATTGGCGCAGAAGCTTCCGGAGACCGCAGGTAAGACGGCAGATAGAAAACAGTGTATGTATGCTTTTATGTTTCTGATTAATTCAAAGGCATATTTATTGTAATGAGATTCTTTATATAAAGTTCCAATCCTAAAGTAAAACACTCAGCTTGAAGTGAAAGTAAGGAAGTGGCGATGATAAATAATGGTTTGATGAAAGTGCATTACAGTATTAGAGATACGTTTCTGTGTCTGTGCGCGTGCGCATGTGATTTTAAAAAGTTACTGTCAATAAAAACTGAGTGCAGTAAATAGTGAAGCCCAAAATGAAAGTAAGCTAGCTCAAGAAGAATTAGTGCAAACTCTACATCAAACTGCTCAAGTTCATGTAGTTATTTGTAGTTGAAGAGTTTCAAAGGCAAAAATGTTAAAGCAGTTAGAGAAAAAAAAGTGCATTATGTGAAAACTCACTCTAGGAACGAGGAAATCCAACTTTAAGTACATTACTTAAGTAAAGTAAGTAAATGTGGGCTAATAATCTAATGCATCTCTGTGGATGTGCCTAATAAAAATGATATAGATTTACTTTAAAAAGAAAAAATGTGTGTGTGTGCAGGAGAGGAGGCTCTGCGCCTGATATTCACAGATAAAATGTTGGATGGAGACGACACCCTTCTGTCTGAATATGGAATCCAGCACATGTCCGTCCTCCACATGGTGATGAAAGTTCCTGGAGGACTGAAAGCTTGACTAAGATCATCTCCATCTGTCGTACCACTACTGCTGCTACTTTCTGTGATGCTTTAGAAAGCCTCTTGACACTGTTCACATGTATTGTAAATGGTACTTATTATACTGTTTTACTGTTTAGTGACAATGATCGTTTTATTGATCATCCATTATTCCAAATACAACACCAGTCTGTGTTGTTCTATGAAATAAAACCTTTTTCCCAGTTATTTTCTTTGCGTTTTTGATTATTTTTAATCTTTATTTATTTATTTTTTTGCCAGTTCCCACATTAGTCTCACAGTCGTGTAGATGGCCATAAAATATTGAAAGCTTCCGTATGCTCACTTTGAGTAATTTTAGGAAATTGGCAATTGCTGAAACAAAGGACACTGTTTGATTTTCATTTTTTATATTTTAGTTATAGGTGCAAAATATTGTATAATGTAATAGTCTTTGGCGCCAAAGAAAAACGATTACAGGTCACCAGAGAACTTCAATCTATACACCTGAAAACCACAAACCAGGCGAGAAATTTGAGTGTAGTGATGGATGCAGACCTAAACTTAGAAAAACACATTAAGACAATAACAAAATCAGCTTACTATCACCTCAAGAATATTTCAAGGATAAAAGATCTGATGTCTCAACAGGACCTGGAAAAACTAGTCCATGCATTCATCTTTAGTAGGCTTGATTACTGTAACAGCATCTTTACAGGTCTACCTAAAAAATCAGTCAGACAACTACAGCTCATTCAGAACTCTGCTGCTCGAGTCCTCACTAAGACCAAAAAAGTGGACCACATCAGTCCAGCTCTGAGGTCCTTACACTGGCTGCCTGTCAGAGGGTAGACTTTAAAGTTCTGATGCTGGTCTATAAAGCTCTGAATGGTTTAGGACCAAAATACATCAATGACCTCCTGACCCAGTATGAACCATCCAGATCCCTCAGGTCATCTGGATCCGGTCTTTTATCAGTTCCCAGAGTCAGAACCAGACACGGAGAAGCTGCATTCAGCTTTCATGCTCCTTATATCTGGAACAAACTCCCAGAAAGCCTCAGATCAGCTGAAACACTCAGTTTATTTAAATCCAGGTTGAAGACTCACCTGTTCTCAGCTGCATTTGAATAAAGCACCAAATCCACACTTTTAAGCTTAAATTTCAAAACTAACATTTTAACTACTGATTTTATCTATTGTTCTGATTTTATCTGTTTTGATTTTATATACTGTTTTGTTTGTTTGTTTGTTAATCAGTTAGTTTGTTTTCTTGTTTTAATCAATTTTAAATCATGCTTTTTATTTGTTCTTGTTTCTAATGTCTCTGTAAAGCACTTTGAATCACCTTGTTGTTGAATTGTGCTATACAAATAAACTTGCCTTGCCTATAAATATTGTTTTAAGTCAAACTATTTTTTTTTTTCATTTACGTTCTCCAAAATTGTTTTCATAGTTGGTAATAGTTCTAAGTTTAGTTTCAGTTAAGTTTAATAATCAAGTTCTCTCAAATGCTTCACCTCCAAAAATATGTCCAGTTCCTACAGCATAGTCACAAAGCATATTCAACAGTAAACCACAAGTTTGTCTCTGGTGTCTTTTCATAAATATTGAAGCAGCTGAAGATCCAGCTGCAGGTTCGCTGACTCATGAAACTTAGTCTGAACTGGTCCTCTCATTGGTCCTACAAAGTTAAGAAAGGGGTAGTGATCTACCTCAAAATGAAGAACTGAAATTATCCTTTAGGACTGCAGATTTACACAAGTCAGCAGATTCCAAGTTCTTCAGTTCAAACACCATGAAAATAAGTACGCAGTATTACATACTTACTTTACGAAGATGAAGAAAACTCAAATTGTCATCCTCAAACGAGAGGAAACTGGGCATGATGTTTAAGAAAAACCCAGGAACCATCAAGTCTCGAGCATGCTATCAATTTATAACTGCTGGAACACCATTTTTACTGTCCATAGTGAAGACAGTTATACATCTCTATGGACTGTGAGGCTGCTGACCAAGAAAGAAGCCACTGCTCCATAGTCAGCATCTTCAAGTTTGACTCAAATTTGCAGCTGCTCGCATTTAAAACCAAATGCCACCTGGAAAAAAGCTTTATGGTCAAACGTGACAAAGATTGAATTATTTGGCCACAAAAACAAGAGGTATTTTTGAAGGATTAAATATGAGGCTTCTCAACTTTTTGCTGGAAATATTTTATCAGCTTACTTTAAAGTTACAGTGGGGTGGACACACCTGTTTAACCATCCAGTGGAAGATATGTTTGATACTGTGAAGTGCTTTGAGAGTTTATGAGGATTATGTGAGCCAGGCATTTTGTTCTCTGAAAAAAAAAAAATAAATAAATAAGGGAAATTACCCAGTGGTGTTTGGTATGTGGCAACCTGTTGCTTCACATTCTGTTTGACTAAATGAAAAAGCGTTTTGAAGTAATCTGTTAATCTAAGCTGTGAGTGGTGAATAAGGAACTTCACACAGACAGCATTATCATTACCACAAAGGGCAAAGGTTTACTTCAACTGCACTACATAAAACCCATTATTTGACATAAAAAAAAAAAAGAAAAACTGAACTGTTAGTAATAGTTTAAAATTACTGTTGTTCTGTGGAGACATGACCCTTTTATTGCCACAAAGAAACTGAAAGCATATAAAAATCTTCTAATATATCTTCTTGAAATCTTATCCAGTTCAAAGTCAGTGATAGCTGGCACCTATCTCTGCAATGAAAACAAAGCAATAAATGACTTGACCACTTGAAAACCAAACAAGATTTTCTAAAATAAGACTTTGTTTCTGAAAATTAATAAATAACCCTGTAAGGTATTATCAGGTTGAATCACAGGGTTACAGACAGATGTATTTATACTATAGTTTTAAAGACATGTTTCCTGGTACAACAAATTTTCTGGCATGATATGATCTCAGCTGAGACTGAAGCAGTAAAAGAAGGTGTGGGAGAAACACCTGTGTACAAAGGACTTGCCACATCACCAGGTATACTTGTTTTACTAGGTTTGTGAAAATTACTGTATTAAAACTAAATCTCTGTATGTGCATACTCATTTGTAACTTGTAGTATTCGTACTTGACTTGCATTCCAATTTTCCGATGTGTTCACATGTTTAGTTTACTTTTTTTTCTTTCCTTTATGTCCTTATATGCTGTTTTTACAGGTTTTTTTCAAAAGTAAGAGTTCAGAGGGGTATAGAACAAAGAAATGTGCTCTCTCTGCTGATGTTTATTGCTAAAGTGACAGCTGCACATGCAATAATCAAACATGCCTCAGTTTCTTTGCAGAAAAGAAAGTGAAATAACTAATAATTGTGTTGTGTTGTACAGTTATTTCATTTTTAACCTTAATTTATATTTTATTCCTTCCTAGTTAAATTTACCCTTTTTAATTTTTCATATTTATTTCCTATCTTATTCATAGCCTTTTCCTTTTTTGTTTTCTTTAGGTCACGGGCAGTTGTCCAAGCATTTCACTACATATCGTACTGTGTATGACTGTGTATGTGACAAATAAAATTTGAATTTGAAAAATTTGAATTTGAATTTTTGAATTTGATTAATATGAAAAACAATTTAGGAAATATTAAACAGGGAAACAATATATTTAAGATATCGACCAGATGATTTAAAAAATATACATCCCAGTTATTTTAAATATAAAAACATTCAATTAAATGTTTAATTAGCATAAGGATGTGGAGACATAAAATAAATAATCATTTAATAATGATTCAACTTAATTTGACTCCAAATCCTGGTCTGGCTTTTTTATTTGTATTTTTTCAAAGCGACAAAACATGAACACAACCCACTTGATTTAGCAGCTTCTATTTCTACATCATCTACATCAGTTTTGGTGTATATTGGATAGTTTGTGTCATGGTGTTTTCGTTCTTCTCTTTTGGTTCTTCTTTTCTGCTGCTCTGGCAGACTTGCATCATTCAGTTCTACTCTTCTGGGCTTGGCTGCATTTGTTGTCTGAGATTTATTTTCAGTGACTCCTTCATTATTTTTGACACATCTCTCAGAGCTGCCCTGTGAGGGTTTCCCTACAGTTTCTATTCTCATGTTCTTCATCTTTGTCCTGATGATTTCAAAATCTGAAGTCTGCCTATTTTCTTCACAAGTTATTTGTTTGTTAGTATTTGTTATAACTTTTCCTGACTTCTGTGAACCACGTCCTCCTTCTGTGACTCCCTGAATCTTTGGTCTGGCTTTTAGTTGAAAACTCTCTGCTTTAGTTTTTTCATTAGTAGCATCATCCTGTTTTTCTTTGGTGCTTCTATTATTTCTGCTCCTGCTGGTCTCAGATGGGGTTTCTCTCTGATCTGAATTTGTTTAGTATTTCCTTCATGTTGTTTCTTTTCCTCCACATCGACATCTTTCTGTGTTGTAGCAGCACCACTTACCTCCTCTACTGTGTTTTGTTCAAACTTACTGTGGTCACCTTTTTCGTCTCCTTTTCTTTCTCTCCTGTCCTCCTTCACATCTCTGATTTCTCTCTCTACACAAACATCATTATCACTTGAATGTGTAACACTGATCTCCTGCATGTTCAGTGTATCACTGTGTCTGTTTCCATGTTTATGACTCTGATCATCTTGTAGTATGCTTTCTTTTCTATCATCAGCTTTTTCTTTATCCTGAAATGTGTCACAGCACATCTCTGCTGTTGGTTTATCAGGACTAATCTTTCCTTTTGTGTCATGTTGAAAATCTGTTTTTGTTTTCTCCTCAGCATGAGAAGGACTACGGGTTTGTTTATTCTCCTGATGTTCACATATGTTCTCTCCAACAGTGTCAGCTGGATGCTCTGCATGGCTTTTTTTCTCTGACTGTTTATCTTTAGCCTTTTCATCATTATCTGCTTTATCATCCATTAATTTACTCATCTCATACTGTCTGCTTAGATCATCACAGACTGCTGATCGATCACTGCTATCAAGTTTAAAATCAGTATTACTATCTGGTCTGTTCTTTTCAGCATCATCCACTTCTGTATGTTTTTGATCCAGGTCATCACTTCCAGTGGTTCCTTTGTCCTCATTTGGTTCTTTGTCCAGAGGATCTACGTTACAGGGGGTGTCAGGTGATCCCCCTGCTTCTTGTAAGCGAGCAGTCTTTGGATTATCCGCAGTGTCTGTCTTCTCCACTTTTCTCTTTCTATTGCTCTTATTTTTCTCATCTTGACTCTGATCATATTCATTACTGATGGTGGGTGGTCCACTGGTGGACACATCTGTGGACTCTGGAGTACCAGTATCTGCAGTGTGAAGCACAAAGTACAAACAAAATCATTCAGGCACCAAACAGCTGAGGAAACGACAACAAAAATATTTTCTCTTACCTTTCTTTTTGCTATAAAACAGAAGATATGTAGTCTGGGACCTAATTGACAAACATGTAACAAATATGTTACTTTCACAGTTTCGCAGTGATGTGTTTGGCTAATATTTTATAACAGCAGTGTTTTTCGACGTATTAATATGTGTCTGTGTATGTTTACATTTTACTAACAGTGTAAATATTAAAAGATACACATAAATGTTTTAATTGTTTTCATTGATTTTATTATTTTGCTTTTGCACAGGAGAGTTTTGGGGACAGAGTTGAATCAATCACAGAAAAAATCTGCAGTTGTGATTATAGCACAGTGTGATATGATACTTCAACATGTAGCACACTATAGTTGAGAAAAGTGTATTTAACGCATGTTTAGTGCATACTCGTGTGAAAAGTTAAGAAATAACTGGAAGATAATGTACAGTGGAAATAACAAGCACGAAAACTTACTTCTCCGTGTTATCCAGCTGGAATGGCTGAAAACCAAGCTGATGATGTAAAAAATAATAAAGTATGACATGAATGATCAGCTGGGCCACTGTCACGCATGAGTAATGTAGGAACGTCTTTTGGTATCAAAAATGTATAAGTGATCCATCTTACCTCTGTGACTCTGGTATCATCAAACTGATACCATCTGTCTCTGTGTTCATCCTGGATCTTGATTGTGGCGGAGTAATGTCCACCTCTCAGATCCCCAAAATGATCCAGAAACGCATATAGTTCATATTTCTGACTCTGATTACCAAAGGAAAAATGGCAAACATCAGAATGACTGAAGAAAATAAAATGGATTATGATTAAATACTAAAATATTCTGCACATTTACCTCTGGTATCTGCAGGGTGTAGGGAACCTCCACAGAACAGGTGATTTTGAAGTATGACATGTAACTATAGTTGAACTCAAACCTCTTCAGCAGCAGACACAAAACATCTGGATGATGCTTTATTACATCTCTCTGAATGAAAAACATTTAATTTAGGACAGTTTTACTGATACAGCACCAAATCACAACAACAGTCACCTCAAAGAGCTTGTCTGCTTCCATTACAAGTCAATATGGTTTCATAATTTTATTTAAAGAATAATAAAAGAATCATTTTTAACTCACCATAGTACCATCAACTTTGTCATCACACTGCTCACAGTACATCTGATTTTCTCCACAGAAATCTGAAGGTTTAAAAAACTCTTCAATGCCCTTCACCTGAAAAATATTATTTAAAATCAGCTCTGACAAAGATGTGCTGACCAGCATAAAGGCTGTGATTGTAAAGTGCTGGTAAATGTTTTCTCAGGGAGGAAGGTTTTCAATACACTAACTTTATTTAACATAAAAATGTAAAAAGTTTTGCATTATTAGCAGCTGCCATCAAATAAACTCACTCTAGTGGTTTTTGAACACAGTCTTTCAGTTGTGTTAATGTTAAAATTATTTCGGCGTGCTGGTCTCTGACTGAAACATGGACATCTAATTATTTATCTCTGCATCAGTGCCATAAATCAGAATTTTACTCAAGACCTAAAGGTAAATATATGCAGAAAAATTATGTATTGCACGTCTCTTTGTTACTTGTCATATCCTTACCACGCTGTAGTCTTCACTGCAGGAATCTGCCAGTGAAAGAGGAAGAAGCCAAAAAGGTGCATCTCTGTCAGTCTGTATATGACCTTTAGAGCAGGTGGTCTTGTTTACTAACTGACCGTGGAAGATCTGAAAAAAGCACAAATACTTGTTGGCAAGTGATATTTTTTACCCAGCTTTCACATTGATAGGGTCACTTTTGGAACCAGTCAAAGAGAACAGTCTCTACCTTTGATGCATCCGGACTGGTCATTCTTAAAACCCTCTCCAAGCACTCTGCAGCATCACGCTGTTCATACACTGGGTGGGGAAATAAATGTGCATGCTTTCAACAAAACAATTAAGTTATTTAATTAAAAATGTTTTAGAATTATCCAGTCTAACAATTTAAACAAGTTAAACTATTAAATTACATTAAAAAACTGCACAGGCTGAAGAAGACTTTACTTCAAGACTTGTTGTAAATTGATCTACTTTAGATCAATTTATTAGACTCTTCAAACAATTCAAAGGTTGTGCTGTTTTGTGTGTTAACATACTGTACCATTGTCAATGCCCAGCTTCTGTGTTATCTTATATGAGTATGCTGTGTGGTTCTGTAAGTCATCAAATAAGACTTTAAGATGATGATCAAGAAACTCAGAGTGAGGATTTTCTCCAGAGTACCTACATGGAAGGTAAATACGAGTAATTAAAAATGCACAATAGACTTCATATTTGATAAATACAGGATCACACTTAAAGCTGGGCTGTAACAAACCTTGTCACAGCCTTTCTGAAGTCCTTGGTCATGAACAGCACCTGCAGCACACTGTTCAAGTAATCTGTTGCTCCCTGGTTTATCAGTCCATGGTACCTGTTAGCTACTGGGAGGAGACTGATCATGTAAATTTCAGAACGATGAGCAAATAATTATGGTGGATCCTAAATTAAAACCCCTTCTGCTAATCAATTAAATCAATGAATTAATAAAACAATAAGAATTATTCAAACTGAACCATTAAGGTCAAGGTTGTCAGTAAAACTTTATTTGTAAAATGGAAGACGTTCAGAGACACCTTCTTTCTTATAGCAGTGCGGCTAGACAAAACGGTAAATGGCCTGTATTTGTACAGCGCTTTACTAGTCCCTGAGGACCCCAGAGCGCTTCACACATTCAGTCATCCACCCATTCACACACACATTCACACACAGTGTGAAAAGCACAGTCTAAACCAGGAGTGGCTGAGAGAAGTGTTTCTACCTGTAAGGGCGGTTATTGAAAGTCATCTAAAAACAATAGACCTAGATGTTAAATATATGTGTGTAAAAAAACAAAAAAAAAACTGGCATCAGATCTTACCCAGAGAGGTGCTGCTGAATAGCCGCCGAGTACTCTCCAACAGAGACATTTTCAGTCACTTCAATTCTGTGTTACGGAGAGCTGCAAGTCTATACACCAGTCAGTATTTGTTTATAAACAACAACAACAACATTATTTATTATTAATTATTACTAGCAGGTAAACAAAGGCCCATGTTTTTGTACATAAGGTGCCAAAATCCACAGCCAGTGACAGGCTTTCAGTAACATCTCGAATAGAAAACACTTTGAGTATTACGATATTACCACTACAACACTCTGCTTTTCTAAGCTACATTTAATGACTTCCGACGAGGCTACGGGAAAAAAAACTATAATAAACAAAAACAATACCAAAAAAGAAGCTTCTTCCCCAGACAGACAGTGCTTTTCAAAGAAATTGCTGATGAAGAATAAAACAAACCTAATTATTTTCAAATGTAATACACAAGTACACAAAAACAAAAGATTCAAACATACCTTCAGTGGTAACAGGGATATTTTAGATATCTTAAAGATGTTTTCTAAGATCTTTGGCAATAAATGTTTTTAATTTATGGAATATTTGAGTATAGGATATCTCTATCTCTAGTGCAGTTTAAAACACTGGAGTAGCGCTTTCTCTTTCACTTCTGCTACACCTTAGTGTTGCATTCAGTGTGTGTCGGAATTTTGAAAATCTGGCGTATTCTTTCGTATTTTTTTGAATTTAAAGAGACCTGTAAGAACACTCTATTAACGGTGAAATGATAACTATTTCATTAACACTATTTTAAGTCACCGATTGCGTGAGCTTGACAGAGATTTAATTAAAGAGCAGAGATGGTAAATATTAAGCGCAAGTCTATTTCCACACACAACTACCTTCATCATGAATAAACGCAGAGTTTAAAAAGACCTTGTGAAGCTCTGCTAAACTCAAACTTTGTGTCTCAGTTTTTCTCAAACACTTTCATTTTCTTAAATCCACCAAAAAGGCACTTTTTTGATGTTGCTGCTACTAAAACCCTCTAATTTATAAGCAGAGAAGCTTAAAAAAAGGTTTACAAAAAGGTTGGTTTTCTGTACATGTTCTGAAGTTATTTTAACACCAAATGTTTGGTCTTGATCTACTTGCAGCGTTTAAACTTCTGCAATACTGTATCTATGCATCGGTTTTCTTATTGTCTTATACAATTTGGCCACAGTGGAAAATTGCCAGTGTATCAAAAGGCCACGGTGAATCCATACATGTGAAACCAAAGTTAAGGTGTGAAACCATCACCATTCATTAACAGGGACATCAGCTTAAATCTAGAATTTGGTGCAATGTTCACAAAGAAGCTAAAAAAGCTTCCTGTTGCAGGTCAGTGGTGTAAAATCCACTGTTAAAACACGTGGCTCACACTTATGTGAGATTTATGATGTTGCAGTTGTGTTCCTTATATCCTTGTTATTTTTTTAGACTCTAGTGCCACTGAACAGCTTCAGGTGTGTCACATGATCATAGATGCTGCATAAAAGGTTTGTTTGTTGTTACCACATTTTTTAGAAATGTTAAGCCTGAATAGTTTGTTTGGAAATAATGCTTACATAGGCTAAAAGAAAGGGGAAGAAAATACACCAGGATAAGCTCAGCTTTAACCAAAAACGCAGTGTAAAACACTCCAGGAAGTTACTGATACAGTCAAGAAATCTTTCCCAGAAGCACAAAGACACAGTATGTTATTTAATGACTCACTGGGCAGAGCCAGTGTCATGGTCCTGAGTCTGCCGACTCAGTTTGTTGTGTCTCTTTATGCTTTTGTTTATTCTGTGTATGTATTCTGTTATGATTTGCCATTTGTTAGGTTTCTGTTCTGTGCTTGCCCTGGTCCCACTTCTGTGTTCCATGGTGTTTCGTTCCTCTCTCTGCGTCTCTCTGCCCCGCACCTCGTTTCATGTGTTCTCAGGTTTGTTATTTAGTTTTCCCAGTTTAGGTTTCTTTAGTTACTTGTCATTCCTCACTGCCTGTTTGCCATTACACAACCTTGTAAATAAATGTCACTCGAATCATCAGTCATCGCCTGCATTTTGGGTCCTCCTTTCCTCTAACACCACACAGCTCGCCTCGGCAGCCGTGACAGCCAGGACAGCTGATATGAAGAACTAAGCAAACAGGGTTTAGCTTAGCTTCACCTTTCTGTTTGAGTTTTGGCAGAAAGGTAGAAACTTATACTCCAGACCTGCATATGAAATTGGTGCAATAGAGTGTTTTTTTTAGGTAATTTTAAATGATCTGAATTTGCTTCCATGTTGCAAATGTAATACTCACACGTACGTTTCATCATATTACAGATCAGCAAAGATTTACCAAACTTTGACCCACATTTGAGAGAGGTGAATGTTGCTTTAGAGATTGCCAAAACAAGAAAGCTTATCACAGATTATGTTTTGAGACATCTCTCTGCTGATAAAGAAGTTGAAGTTCAACTCATGTTTAATTGGGAAGTTTTATAGTCATGCGAAGTACTGCTTGACTGACTTGAGTCAGTCTTGGTTATAGCAGCGTCATCATTTCTCCCCGCATTTCCTGTCATGTTGTCACTGCTTTACAGGCCTGAAGCTCGACAGTATAAAATGTATCCTTATCTGTAAGGTAAGGATACATTGTGTACTGTTTGTTTGTATATGTGTTTTTCTTGCTGCTTTTACCCAAATTTCCCTTTGTGGGACAATTAAAGGATTATTCTATTCTATTCTATCCTTATGTGAGTAAAAGAAAACATAATTAAAATATAATGTGTTAAATTTGCTTAGATGAGAGGATCCAGCTGTAGATCAGATGAATAGGAAAGGATTTGTGAATGTGTGTGCTTCAGTTTGGTTTAGCTATAGGCCTGAACGTGTCATAAAATTAGGAATAGACTTATAGGAGACCCTCCCCCCCCTTGAGTTGGGAAAGTCAGAGAAAGAGAAGTTATAGCTGAGTGGAAATTCCCTAGGGGATACCTGGGGTGGGGCTCTCAGTGTTTGTAACCTGATGATTGTGGTCTGGAGGGGAGATGGACTTTTATGACCGGCAGGGAATCACATACGCAGGGGTACCTACACGTGCACACACATACACACACACACACATACACAGGTACGCGCACACACAGGCACGCGCACACACAGGCACTCACGTTCTTGCGCATACATACACAAACACAGAGTTTACAACACACCATGTGGGTTTTATGATGGGGTTGTTTCTATAAAACTGGTTGAAACAGACAAAGAAGTGAAGATCTGCAGACGGACACCGGCCTTACATGTCTTCCCTTCTGGAAGTTGCATGCGTAACTGAAGATGAATAAAGGTTTTGTGAAATGACTACTGAGTCCGGTGTAGTCTCTGGAGGCCTGAGAAATAAAAAAGAACCGGGGTGAAACTGCTTTATGTAACACTTACCTGTTCCAGTACAGCACAAAGATTAGTAAAGTTCTGTATTAGAAATGTGCCTTAAACAAAATAAAGGAACATATATAAAAGCAAAATACATAATTAAACAGCATTTTACTATTGTACTTTATATAAGTATAGCTCATCTTGAAATGTTTTACAGTCGGAATAACATGCTGGTTATTTCCTAAAACAAACCAGATGTCCACTTGCCTGAAGGGAAGAAGAAACAAAGTCACCGCGTGGTAATTACTAGAAATAGTAAAGTTTAATGAACGGTGTAGAAACTAGTTTAAACAACAGCTTTCAGAGAAAGCAACTCCTCCTGAACTGGAAGGGTATAATTAAACATTAATGTTTTATTATGTCTCAGTTTTGATGTTGGGTACTAACAGTGAAGGTTGAGGTCATATGATTAGTCAACCTGGGTACTTTGTAGGTAGTTTGAAGACGATCCATAAAAACATGAAGTTAATACAAAGTTTTCACATTTGCTGTGATTTTGACCCGATTTTCACCAGAATTAATTCAGCTCGAGCTGTTATTGGTCTTTTCTATCATCTCACATAATTTGAAAATGATACCTTGAAAACTTTGGAGGCTAAAGTGACCACAGGTGGGACAGTCACGGATGGAGGGACAGGCGTCAGCTCCTCGAACCTGAGGGAGATCAGTAGTCTTGCAGTTGTTGAGAACTTCGTGGTTTGAGTGGTCTGAGCGTGGAGCACCATTCCATGACTTCAATCATTGGCAGCAGAAGTCGTACAGTTTGTTGTTGTCTGCTGTGCAGATTTCTCAACTCAGCAGATTTTTCAGCTAAATGTGGTGTTATTTGCAAAGCTTTGCAAATAATTCTCGTATAATCTATAAATTGTGCACATTTTGTTCCCACTTTTTTAGAAACTTGATTGTATAATCAGTCTGATTTGCTTAAAAATAAAATTACAATCTTCTCTTCAAAGTAGGCCATCTCTTCAACTGACAGTACTGCCAGCCTGAGGACCACTGCACCACACTTTCCCATCATTTCACTTAAAGCAGGGCAGTTAATTTCTACTGGTCTTGCAGGGAGCAAGTGGTTTAAAAACAGCAAACAACTCTTAAAAATATGAGGGTAGTGAAAATAAACCAAAACAATAAAGTAGCAGGCCTGGCAACAAAGAGCTTCATCTTACAAAGTCCCATCAAGCCAGGTGAGTACTTTTTTTAAGTTCAGCGTTATCATGCTCTGTAATTTAATGATAGAAATGTAAGTATTAGCCACATTTTGGAAAGTGAGAGAAAAAGGAAGGAACAAATGAAGTAAGAAAGAAACTTGATCAAGCAGACTGTGGCACCACCAGGTGCATGACCATGACCACATGACATCTCTGCTACTAGAGTGTCTCCTCACCGGCTGCACAAAGCAAAAACAAAGGACACCGAGTTTGATATCGGCATCACAAACAGTCTACATGTGACCAAAACACTGAATATATGTGAGCATTTTTCTGATATACCTAACACCAGCATAACAAGTGCACATAACTGCTTTAGTTGGCTTAACTGGTACACCAAGGGCGTAGATTTGGCATGGACGAAGGGACATGTCCCCACCAATATCCAGCAATTATTGAATTTTCCCCACCAATAATTTGATCTCTTCGAGTAAAGAAAAACAAACCTGATAGAAAGAAATAACGATCTGTCAACGTCTCATTCACCCAGCGGTGCAGAAAGAGTTAAATTATATCCTCTACTGGAGTCCTGCCTCATGTGACAAATGTGGCCAATGTGATTGGCTGTGCCTTTCAGGGAGCTCCGCTCCCTGAAGACCAACACAGAGAGACTGAGGAGGAGCTTCTTCCCGCAGGCGATACGGTCTCTCAATCACACCACCACACAGTACTGACCCACACATACAGTTCTTACACACACACTGGACTTTCTGGACATTGTTTTTGCACACATTGTTTTTTTGCACAATACTGGTCACTATATTCTTCATTTCCGGTTAATACTTGTACAGCTGCTGTTATTGTGTATATATTTATTTATATTTAGATTTCTTCATACATTCTTATATAGTTCTATATTGTGTATTGTGTATTTTGTTGTACAGTTATTTTATTTTCAACTTTAATTTATATATTTTATCTTATTCTTCCCAGTTAAATTTACCCTTCATTCTAATTTGTGTTGTACAGTTATTTCATTTTTAACCTTAATTTATATTTTATTCCTTCTTAGTTAAATTTACCCTTTTTAATTTTTCATATTTATTTCCTATCTTATTCATAGCCTTTTCCTTTTTTGTTTTCTTTAGGTCACGGGCAGTTGTCCAAGCATTTCACTACATATCGTACTGTGTATGACTGTGTACGTGACAAATAAAAATTTGAATTTGAATTTGTTTAGTTTTAGCAGCGCCAAGCCTGCGCTGCCAGGAGGAGAGGAGGACTGCAGCAAAAAGGAAGAACCTGGATATAAGAAAGTATTTTTCAAAGAAACCTGTAAATCACTTAAAGTCAAGTTCACTCATAAAATGTGTCCGTCATAATAACGTTACAGGCTGTGCTAGGCTTTGGCCCACATCAGTCTAAAATTGTAACCATGAATAATGTGTTTTGGAAACTAACTGCACAACAGGAAGCATTATTAGTTATCTCAGTCTCTCAGAGCAGCATTTCTAATTTTGATTGAAACTGTCAGAGAAAACGGCAGCCTCGAGCAAGCCAGGATATTAGTTTATAGCGGCTGTTAACATTATATGTCTAACATTAAAATTTCATCCTAATGGTACTGACATATTCATAGGGTTTATTTTGAGACAATATATCATGAGGTAGCCATGATTTTGCAAATATTCCAACTTGTAGTGCAGTTTGCAGAAATTGTTTTAAAAATGCACTCACCCTAAAAACATGCCTAAAATGTTGCATAATTTTGTTGAGAAATCTTTTACTTTGTGGTCATCTTAGATGGGTAGTTTTATGGACAAAACCCACCAGGTCATTCAGTGTTCCCTTACTGCTAATGTATATAAGAGATGTTGGTGTAATAAAACTGAAGTAATGTTGTTAAGTCCTTAAAGTCATATTCTTTTATTGTCATGACTGTATTTGAAGCTATTTTTTTTTTGTATGATACCTGATTTATATGAAATATGGCTGAAGTAAACTGAAGTATAAAATACTTAGTCAGTCATTTGTTTAATAGTAATTTAATATTATAAAATTCAAATGTAAAACTATGAATTGTCATTTTAAATGGTTTAAAAGCATGTAGAATAGCATATGTAGGCAAGTATATTTCACCTTTTATCAAGAAGCAAAGACAAAAAGGTGAAAAATAGAAACAGGGCAGGGTTCGGTGGTTGAATCATCCGTCCCCACCAATGCCAAAACCAAATCTACGCCCTTGTGGTACACTAAGTGAAATTAGAACCGAGGGTATAACTTTATCTACTCATTTAACGCACTAAGATTAAGCAACCCATTGAACTTTCAGTTTCTCCAGGGTACTTACAACAAGTCATATGGGCGACCGTGGCTCAGGGGGTTGGGAAGCGCATCTGTAACCGGAAGGTCGCCAGTTCGATCCCCGTCGTTGTGTCCTTGGGCAAGACACTTTACCCTACCACCTACTGGTCTCGGCCAGAGGGGCCGATGGTGTGATATGGCAGTCTCGCTTCTGTCAGTCTGCCCCAGGGCAGCTGTGGCTACAACTGTAGCTTGCCTTCACCAGTGTATGAATGCGAGAGTGAATGAATAGTGGCATTGTAAAGTGCTTTGGGTGCCTTGAAAAGCGCTATATAAAAATCCAATCCATTATTATATGGCGCATTACGACAGGTTTGCATTACCTTTTAATATATTCAGAGTCTGTGTACAATTAATATGTAGAACAGCTCTGGATAAAAGCTTTAAGTTGCCTACCACAGGATATGAATATTTACTTTAAATGAGACGCATATTACAGGGATCAGCTGATAAACACTCACTGGTCAGATGAATACTAGATACTAGTATGTTGTTGTCAACAGAAACTGAGTGAAGCCCAAAATGAAACTAAGCTAACCCAAGAATAAGTAGATAAAACTTCAGGCTGCTCAAGAAAATGTTATTTTTAGTTGTAGTTAAAAAAGTTTATGCTCAAAAATGTCTGCATGTTAGAGAAAAAACCTTTTAGTAAAAGTAAACTGAAAAGTGAAATTATTTTTATTAACTCAGCAGGTTCACAATCAGTGAAAACGTGGTGTTTCAAGTCAATTTGAAACTGAAACTCTGAACACAACCTGCTCCTGACCAGGTTATGTGATATCTATGAAATCAACTAGATTCTATAGAACAAAGCTCAAACATGAATGATGACTAAGAACAAAAAAGAACAATAAAACCCAGCAAAAGTCATACAATAATAATAATAAAAAATAATAAAAGAAAAAAAAATGGTTGGAATCTTCCAGAATGGTCCAGATGGAATCAGCTACAGACTATCGAGGAACTGTACAGATCAACTCTGTGAGGTTATCAGATACATCTTTAACATCAGTCTCGGTCTGGAGAGGGTCCCCATTCTGTGGAAGACCTCCTGCATGTTGCCGGTACCAAAGACAACATACCCCAAGGAGCCAAACCACTTCAGTTCATATATGATAATAATAATTAAAACCCCACCTCAGGTCCCGGCACATCCTTTATATATAGGACACCTAATCAGCTCAGGTGTGTCTCTCTCTGCAGGAGAGGAGCAACAAAAACAACACTGTGCCAAAGTGACAAACCATGAACACCACCCAACTGTCTCATTGTCTGCACTTGATTTAGCAGCTTCTATTTTTAGATCCACTTGTGGAACTTTGGTGTATTTTGGATGGTTTGTGCCATGTTGTTTTTCTTCTTCTGTGGGCTTGGCTGCACTTTTTGTCTGAGATTTATTTTCAGTGTGTCCTTTGTTATATTTGACATGTCTAGCAGAGCTGTCCTGTGAGGGTTTCCCTACACTTTCTATTCCCGTGTTCTTCATCTTTGTCCCAATACATTCACCGTGAGAATTCTGCCTATTTTCTTCACAAGTTATTTGTTTGTAAGTATTTGTTATAACTTCTCCTGACTTCTGTGAACCACGTCCTCCTTCTGTGACTCCCTGAATCTTTGGTCTGGCTTTTAGTTGAAAACTCTCTGCTTTAGTTTTTTCATTAGTAGCATCATCCTGGTTTTCTTTGGGTGCTTCTATTATTTCTGCTCCTGCTGGTCTCAGATGGGGTTTCTCTCTGATCTGAATTTGTTTAGTATTTCCTTCATGTTCTTTCTTTTCCTCCACATCGACATCTTTCTGTGTTGTAGCAGCACCACTTACCTCCTCTACTGTGTTTTGTTCAAACTTACTGTGGTCACCTTTTTCGTCTCCTTTTCTTTCTCTCCTGTCCTCCTTCACATCTCTGATTTCTCTCTCTACACAAACATCATTATCACTTGAATGTGTAACACTGATCTCCTGCATGTTCAGTGTATCACTGTGTCTGTTTCCATGTTTATGACTCTGATCATCTTGTAGTATGCTTTCTTTTCCTTCATCAACTTTTTCTTTATCCTGAAATGTGTCACAGCACATCTCTGCTGTTGGTTTATCAGCACTAATCTTTCCTTTTGTGTCATGTTGAAAATCTGTTTTTGTTTTCTCCTCAGCATGAGAAGGACTACAGGTTTGTTTATTCTCCTGATGTTCACATATGTTCTCTCCAACAGTGTCAGCTGGATGCTCTGCATGGCTTTTTTTCTCTGACTGTTTATCTTTAGCCTTTTCATCGTTATCTGCTTTATCATCCATTAATTTACTCATCTCATACTGTCTGCTTAGATCATCACAGACTGCTGATCGATCACTGCTATCAAGTTTAAAATCAATATTAATATCTAGTCTGTTCTTTTCAGCATCATCCACTTCTGTGTGTTTTTGATCCAGGTCATCACTTCCAGTGGTTCCTTTGTCCTCATTTGGTTCTTTGTCCAGAGGATCTACGTTACAGGGGGTGTCAGGTGATCCCCCTGCTTCTTGTAAGCGAGCAGTCTTTGGATTATCTGCTGTGTCTGTCTTCTCCCCTTTTCTCTTTCTATTGCTCTTATTTTTCCCATCTTGACTCTGATCATATTCATTACTGATGGTAGGTAGTCCCCTGGTGGACACATCTGTGGACTCTGGAATAGCAGTGTCTGCAGCATGAAGCACAAAGTAGAAACAAAATCATTCAGGCACCAAACAGCTGAGGAAACGACAACAAAAATATTTTCTCTTACCTTTCTTTTTGCTATAAAACAGAAGATATGTAGTCTGGGACCTAATTGACAAATATGACATGTAACAAATATGTTACTTTCACAGTTTCGCAGTGATGTGTTTGGCTAATATTTTATAACATATTTATTTTTTGCAGCAGTGTTTTCCGACGTATTAATATGTGTCTGTGTATGTTTACATTTTACTAACAGTGTAAATATTAAAAGATACACATAAATGTTTTAATTGTTTTCATTGATTTTATTATTTTGCTTTTGCACAGTTTTGGGGACAGAGTTGAATCAATCACAGAAAAATCTGCAGTTGTGATTATAGCAACAGTGTGATATGATACTTCAACATGTAGCACACTATAATTGAGAAAAGTGTATTTAACGCATGTTTAGTGCATACTCGTGTGAAAAGTTAAGAAATAACTGGAAAATAATGTACAGTGGAAATAACAAGCACGGAAACTTACTTCTCCGTGTTATCCAGCTGGAATGGTTGAAAATCAAGCTGATGATGTAAAAAATAATAAAGTATGAGATGAATGATGAGCTGGGCCACTGTCACGCATGAGTAATGTAGGAATGTCTTTTGGTATCAAAAATGTATAAGTGATCCATCTTACCTCTGTGACTCTGGCATCATCAAACTGATACCATCTGTCTCTGTGGACCTCCTGGATCTTGATTGTGGCGGAGTAATGTCCACCTCTCAGATCCCCAAAATGATCCAGAAACGCATATAGTTCATATTTCTGACTCTGATTACCAAAGGAAAAATGGCAAACATCAGAATGACTGAAGAAAATAAAATGGATTATGGGGCGATCGTGGCTCAAGAGTTGGGAGTTCGCCTTGTAATCGGAAGGTTGCCGGTACGAGCCCCGGCTTGGACAGTCTCGGTCTTTGTGTCCTTGGGCAAGACACTTCACCCGTTGCCTACTGGTGGTGGTCAGAGGGCCCGGTGGCGCCAGTGTCCGGCAGCCTCGCCTCTGTCAGTGCGCCCCAGGGTGGCTGTGGCTACAATGTAGCTTGCCATCACCAGTGTGTGAATGGGTAGATGACTGGATGTGTAAAGCGCTTTGGGGTCCTTAGGGACTAGTAAAGCGCTGTATAAATACAGGCCATTTACAATTTAAATACTAAAATATTCTGCACATTTACCTCTGGTATCTGCAGGGTGTAGGGGACCTCCACAGAACAGGTGATTTTGGAGTGTGACATGTAATTATAGTTGAACTCAAACCTCTTCAGCAGCAGACACAAAACATCTGGATGATGCTTTATTACATCTCTCTGAATGAAAAACATTTAATTTAGGACAGTTTTACTGATACAGCACCAACAGTCACCTCAAAGCACTTTTTATTTCCCAATATGTCTTAATATGCTTTAGTAATTCTATTTAAAGAATCATAAATCTAAAAAAAATCTCACCATAGTAGCATCAACTTTGTCATCACACTGCTCACAGTACATCTGATTTTCTCCACAGAAATCTGAAGTTTTAAAAAACTCTTCAATGCCCTTCACCTGAAAAATATTATTTAAAATCAGCTCTGACATACTGTAGATGTGCTGACCAGCATAAAGGCTGTGATTGTAAAGTGCTGGTAAATGTCTCAGGGAGGAAGGTTTTCAATACACTAACTTTATTTAACATAAAAAATGTAAAAAGTTTTGCATTATTAGCAGCTGCCATCAAATAAACTCACTCTACTGGTTTTTGAACACAGTCTTTCATTTGTGTTAATGTTAAAATTATTTCGGCGTGCTGGTCTCTGACTGAAACATGGACATCTAATTATTTTTCTCTGCATCAGTGCCATAAATCAGAATTTTACTCAAGACCTAAAGGTAAATATATGCAGAAAAATTATTATGTATTGCACGTCTCTTTGTTACTTGTCATATCCTTACCACGCTGTAGTCTTCACTGCAGGAATCTGCCAGTGAAAGAGGAAGAAGCCAAAAAGGTGCATCTCTGTCAGTCTGTATATGACCTTTAGAGCAGGTGGTCTTGTTTACTAACTGACCGTGGAAGATCTGAAAAAAGCACAAATACTTGTTGGCAAGTGATATTTTTTACCCAGCTTTCATATTTATAGGTTCACTTTTGGAACCAGTCAAAGAGAACAGTCTCTACCTTTGATGCATCCGGACTGGTCATTCTTAAAACCCTCTCCAAGCACTCTGCAGCATCACGCTGTTCATACACTGGGTGGGGAAATAAATGTGCATGCTTTCAACAAAACAATTAAGTTATTTAATTAAATTTTTTTAGAATTATCCAGTCTAACAATTTAAACAAGTTAAACTATTAAATTACATTAAAAAACTGCACAGGCTGAAGAAGACTTTACTTCAAGACTTGTTGTAAATTGATCTACTTTAGATCAATTTATTAGACTCTTCAAACAATTCAAAGGTTGTGCTGTTTTGTGTGTTAACATACTGTACCATTGTCAATGCCCAGCTTCTGTGTTATCTTATATGAGTATGCTGTGTGGTTCTGTAAGTCATCAAATAAGACTTTAAGATGATGATCAATAAACTCAGAGTAAGGATTTTCTCCAGAGTACCTACATGGAAGGTAAATACGAGTAATTAAAAATGCACAATAGACTTCATATTTGATAAATACAGGATCACACTTAAAGCTGGGCTGTAACAAACCTTGTCACAGCCTCTCTGAAGTCCTCGGTCATGAACAGTACCTGCAGCACACTGTTCAAGTAATCTGTCGCTCCCTGGTTTATCAGTCCATGGTACCTGTTAGCTACTGAGAGGAGACTGATCATGTAAATTTCAGAACGATGAGCAAATAATTATGGTGGATCCTAAATTAAAACCCCTTCTGCTAATCAATTAAATCAATGAATTAATAAAACAATAAGAATTATTCAAACTGAACCATTAAGGTCAAGGTTGTCAGTAAAACTTTATTTGTAAAATGGAAGACGTTCAGAGACACCGTCTTTCTTATAGCAGTGCGGCTAGACAAAATGGTAAATGGCCTGTATTTGTATAGCGCTTTACTATTCCCTGAGGACCCTAAAACACTTTACACATTTAGTCATCCACCCATTCACACACACATTCACACACACATTCACACACAAAAAACACAGTCTAAACTAGGAGTGTCTGAGAAAAGTGTTTCTACCTGTAAGGGCGGTTATTGAAAGTCATCTAAAAACAATAGACCTAGATGTTAAATATATGTGTATAAAAAAAACATTAAAAAAAAAACAACTGGCAACAGATCTTACCAAGAGAGGTGCTGCTGAATAGCCTCCGAGTACTCTCCAACAGAGACATTTTCAGTCACTTCAATTCTATGTTACGGAGAGCTGCAAAAGAATTCAAAGTCTATACACCAGTCAGTATTTGTTTATAAACAACAACAACAACAACATTATTTATTATTAATTATTACTAGCAGGTAAACAAAGGCCCATGTTTTTGTACATAAGGTGCCAAAATCCACAGCCAGTGACAGGCTTTCAGTAACATCTCGAATAGAAAACACTTTGAGTATTACGATATTACCACTACAACACTCTGCTTTTCTAAGCTACATTTAATGACTTTCGACGAGGCTACGGAAAAAAAAACTATAATAAACAAAAACAATACCAAAAAAGAAGTTTCTTCCCCAGACAGACAGTGCTTTTCAAAGAAATTGCTGATGAAGAATAAAACAAACCTAATTATTTTCAAATGGAATACACAAGTACACAAAAACAAAAGATTCAAACATACCTTCAGTGGTAACAGGGATATTTTAGATATCTTAAAGATGTTTTCTAAGATCTATGGCAATAAAAGTGTTTAATTTATGGAATATTTGAGTATAGGATATCTCTATCTCTAGTGCAGTTTAAAACACTGGAGTAGCGCTTTCTCTTTCACTTCTGCTACACCTTAGTGTTGCATTCAGTGTGTGTCGGAATTTTGAAAATCTGGCGTATTCTTTCGTATTCTTTTGAATTTAAAGAGACCTGTAAGAACACTCTATTAACGGTGAAATGATAACTATTTCATTAACACTATTTTAAGTCACTGATTGTGTGAACTTGACAGAGATTTAATTAAAGAGCAGAGATGGTAAATATTAAGCGCAAGTCTATTTCCACACACAACTACCTTCATCATGAATAAACGCAGAGTTTAAAAAGACCTCGTGAAGCTCTGCTAAACTCAAACTTTGTGTCTCCGTTTTTCTCAAACACTTTCATTTTCTTAAATCCACCAAAAAGGTACTTTTTTGATGTTGCTGCTACTAAAACCCTCTAATTTATAAGCAGAGAAGCTTAAAAAAAGGTTTACAAAAAGGTTGGTTTTCTGTACATGTTCTGAAGTTGTTTTAACACCAAATGTTTGGTCTTGATCTACTTGCAGCGTTTAAACTTCTGCAATACTGTATCTATGCATCAGTTTTCTTATCATCTTATACAATTTGGCCAGAGTGGAAAATTGCCAGTGTATCAAAAGGCCAGGGCGAATCCATACATGTGAAACCAAAGTTAAGGTGTGAAACCATCAAACATTCATTAACAGGGACATCAGCTTAAATCTAGAATTTGGTGCAATGTTCACAAAGAAGCTAAAAAAGCTTCCTGTTGCAGGTAAGTGGTGTAAAATCCACTGTTAAAACACGTGGCTCACACTTATGTGAGATTTATGATGTTGCAGTTGTGTTCCTTATATCCTTGTTATGTTTTTAGATTGTAGTGCCACTGAACAGCTTCAGGTGTGTCACATGATCAAAGATGCTGCATAAAAGGTTTGTTTGTTGTTACCACATTTTTAGAAATTTTAAGCCTGAATAGTTTGTTTGGAAATAATGCTTACATAGGCTAAAATAAAGGGTAAGAAAATACACCAGGATAAGCTGAGCTTTAACCAAAAACGCAGTGTAAAACACTCCAGGAAATTACTGATACAGTCAAGAAATCTTTCCCAGAAGCACAAAGACACGGTATGTTATTTAATGACTCACTTGGCAGAGCCAGGACAGCTGATATGAAGAACTAAGCAAACAGGGTTTAGCTTAGCTTCACCTTTCTGTTTGAGTTTTGGCAGAAAGGTAGAAACTTATACTCCAGACCTGCATATGAAATTGGCGCAATAGAGTGTTTTTTATTTTTTTAGGTAATTTTAAATGATCTGAATTTGCTTCCATGTTGCAAATGTAATACTCACACGTACGTTTCATCATATTACAGATCAGCAAAGATTTACCAAACTTTGACCCACATTCGAGAGAGGTGAATGTTGCTTTAGAGATTGCCAAAACAAGAAAGCTTATCACAGATTATGTTTTGAGGCATCTCTCTGCTGATAAAGAAGTTGAAGTTCAACTCATGTTTAATTGGGAAGTTTTATAGTCATGCAAAGTACTGCATGACAAAAACAGAGTCAGTCTTGGATATAGCAGCGTCATCATTTCTCCCCGCATTTCCTGTCATGTTGTCACTGCTTTACAGGCCTGAAGCTCGACAGTATACAATGTATCCTTATCCGTAAGGTAAGGATACATTGTGTACTGTTTGTTTGTATATGTGTCTTTCTTGCTGCTTTTACCCAAATTTCCCCTTGTGGGACAATGAAAGGATTATTCTATTCTATTCTATTCTATTCTATTCTATTCTATTCTATCCTTATGTGAGTAAAAGAAAACATAATTAAAATATAATGTGTTAAATTTTCTTAGATGAGAGGGTCCAGCTGTAGATCAGAGGAATAGGAAAGGATTTGTGAATGTGTGTGCTTCAGTTTGGTTTAGCTATAGGCCTGAACGTGTCATAAAATTAGGAGTAGACTTATAGGAGACCCTCCCCCCCCCTTGAGTTGGGAAAGTAAGAGAAAGAGAAGTTATAGCTGAGTGGAAATTCCCCAGGGGATACCTGGGGTGGGGCTCTCAGTGTTTGTAACCTGATGATTGTGGTCTGGAGGGGAGATGGACTTTTATGACCGGCAGGGAATCACATACGCAGGGGTACCTACACATGCACACATGCGCACACACATGCACACACACATGCACACACATACATACACAGGTACGCGCACACACAGGCACTCACGTTCTTGCGCATACATACACAAACACAGAGTTTACAACACACCATGTGGGTTTTATGATGGGGTTGTTTCTATAAAACTGGTTGAAACAGACAAAGAAGTGAAGATCTGCAGACGGACACCGGCCTTGCATGTCTTCCCTTCTGGAAGGTGCATGCGTAACTGAAGATGAATAAAGGTTTTGTGAAATGACTACTGAGTCCGGTGCAGTCTCTGGAGGCCTGAGGAATAAAAAAGAACCGGGGTGAAACTGCTTTATGTAACACTTACCTGTTCCAGTACAGCACAAAGATTAGTAGAGTTCTGTATTAGAAATGTGCCTTAAACAAAATAAAGGAACATATATAAAAGCAAAATACATAATTAAACAGCATTTTACTATTGTACTTTATATAAGTATAGCTCATCTTGAAATGTTTTACAGTCGGAATAACATGCTGGTTATTTCCTAAAACAAACCAGATGTCCACCTGCCTGAAGGGAAGAAGAAACAAAGTCACCGCGTGGTAATTACTAGAAAGAGTAAAGTTTGATGAACGGTGTAGAAACTAGTTTAAACAACAGCTTTCAGAGAAAGCAACTCCTCCCGCACTGGAAGGGGTATAATTAAACATTAATGTTTTATTATGTCTCAGTTTTGATGTTGGGTACTAACAGTGAAGGTTGAGGTCATATGATTAGTCAACCTGGGTACTTTGTAGGTAGTTTGAAGACGATCCATAAAAACATGAAGTTAATGCAAAGTTTTCACATTTGCTGTGATTTTGACCCGATTTTCACCAGAATTAATTCAGCTCGAGCTGTTATTGGTCTTTTCTATCATCTCACATAATTTGAAAATGATACCTTGAAAACTTTGGAGGCTAAAGTGACCACAGGTGGGACAGTAACGAATGGAGGGACAGGCGTCAGCTCCTCCAACCTGAGGGAGATCAGTAGTCTTGCAGTTGTTGAGAACTTCATGGTTTGAGTGGTCTGAGCGTGGAGCACCATTCCATGACTTCAATCATTGGCAGCAGAAGTCGTACAGTTTGTTGTTGTCTGCTGTGCAGATTTCTCAACTCAGCAGATTTTTCACCTAAATGTGGTGTTATTTGCAAAGTTTTGCAAATAATTCTCGTATAATATTCTATAAATTGTGCACATTTTGTTCCCACTTTTTTAGAAACTTGATTGTATAATCAGTCTGATTTGCTTAAAAATAAAATTACAATCTTCTCTTCAAAGTAGGCCATCTCTTCAACTGACAGTACTGCCAGCCTGAGGACCACTGCACCACACTTTCCCATCATTTCACTTAAAGTGGGGCAGTTAAATTTCTACTGGTCTTGCAGGGAGCAAGTGGTTTAAAAACAGCAAACAACTCTTAAAAATATGAGGGTAGTGAAAATAAACCAAAACAATAAAGTAGCAGGCCTGGCAACAAAGAGCTTCATCTTACAAAGTCCCATCAAGCCAGGTGAGTACTTTTTTTAAGTTCAGCGTTATCATGCTCTGTAATTTAATGATAGAAATGTAAGTATTAGCCACATTTTGGAAAGTGAGAGAAAAAGGAAGGAACAAATGAAGTAAGAAAGAAACTTGATCAAGCAGACTGTGGCACCACCAGGTGCATGACCATGACCACATGACATCTCTGCTACTAGAGTGTCTCCTCACCGGCTGCACAAAACAAAAACAAAGGACACCGAGTTTGATATCGGCATCACAAACAGTCTGCATGTGACCAATATAAGGAAATACCAAAACACTGAATATATGTGAGCATTTTTCTGATATACCTAACACCAGCATAACAAGTGCACATAACTGCTTTAGTTGGCTTAACTGGTACACCAAGGGCGTAGATTTGGCATGGACGAAGGGACATGTATAACGTTACAGGCTGTGCTAGGTTTTGGCCCACATCAGTCTAAAATTGTAACCATGAATAATGTGTTTTGGAAACTTTTTTTATTTTTTTTTATTCATGTTTTGGATGGACAGAAACATTAACGAATATACAACTGGTACAACTGGAATAATCATACTGTCAGTTCTCTGTCCGTTTCTTAACAACAACCAACCAATAAGGACTAACAATAACTAAGACAAACAAACAACAAAAAAAAAAAAAAAAACCCAGGAGAAACAAAATGATATACCGCCTCCTGGGAAACATCAGCAAAAACAAAAGCAATGGGGGCAAAACACCCGGGTGCCAAAAAAACAAAACATACCCTTGACCACTGATGACATTAAGACAATTTCTTCCCTCTACTGACTTTCAAAGTAATAAAATGTGTGTTTTGGAAACTAACTGCACAACAGGAAGCACTATTAGTTATCTCAGTCTCTCAGAGCAGCATTTCTAATTTTGATTGAAACTGTCAGAGAAAACGGCAGCCTCGAGCAAGCCAGGGTATTAGTTTATAGCGGCTGTTAACATTATATGTCTAACATTAAAATTTCATTCTAATGGTACTTACATATTCATAGGGTTAATTTTGAGACAATATATCATGAGGTAGCCATGATTTTGCAAATATTCCAACTTGTAGTGCAGTTTGCAGAAATTGTTTTAAAAATGCACTCACCCTAAAAACATGAAAATGTTGCATAATTTTGCTGAGAAATCTTTTACTTTGTGGTAATCTTAGATGGGTAGTTTTATGGACAAAACCCACCAGGTCATTCAGTGTTCCCTTACTGCTAATGTATATAAGAGATGTTGGTGTAATATAACTGAAGTAATGTTGTTAAGTCCTTAAAGTCATATTCTTTTATTGTCATGACTGTATTTGAAGCTATTTTTATTTTTGTATGATACCTGATTTATATGAAATATGGCTGAAGTAAACTGAAGTATAAAATACTTAGTCAGTCATTTGTTTAATAGTAATTTAACATTATATAATTCAAATGTAAAACTATGAGTTGTCATTTTAAATGGTTTAAAAGCATGTAGAATAGCATATGTAGGCAAGTATATTTCACCTTTTATCAAGAAGCAAAGACAAACAGGGGAAAAATAGAAACAGGGCAGAGTTCGGTGGTTGAATCATCCGTCCCCACCAATGCCAAAACCAAATCTACGCCCTTGTGGTACACTAAGTGAAATTAGAACCGAGGGTATAACTTTATCTACTCATTTAACGCACCAAGATTAAGCAACCCATTGAACTTTCAGTTTCTCCAGGGTACTTACAACAAGTCATATGGGCGACCGTGGCTCAGGGGGTTGGGAAGCGCATCTGTAACCGGAAGGTTGCCAGTTCGATCCCCGTCGTTGTGTCCTTGGGCAAGACACTTTACCCTACCACCTACTGGTGTTGGCCAGAGGGGCTGATGGCGCGATATGGCAGCCTCGCCTTTGTCAGTCTGCTGTGACTACAACCGTAGCTTGCCTTCACCAGTGTATGAATGCGAGAGTGAATGAATAGTGGCATTGTAAAGTGCTTTGGGTGCCTTGAAAAGTGCTATATAAAAATCCAATCCATTATTATATGGTGCATTACGACAGGTTTGCATTACCTTCTAATATATTCAGAGTCCATGTACAATTAATATGTAGAACAGCTCTGGATAAAAGCTTTAAGTTGCCTACCACAGGATATGAATATTTACTATAAATGAGACGCATATTACAGGGATCAGCTGATAAACACTCACTGGTCAGATGAATACTAGATACTAGTATGTTGTTGTCAACAGAAACTGAGTGAAGCCCAAAATAAAACTAAGCTAACCCAAGAATAAGTAGCTAAAACTTCAGGCTGCTCAAGAAAATGTTATTTTTAGTTGTAGTTAAAAAAGTTTAATGGTCAAAAATGTCTGCATGTTAGAGAAAAAAACCTTTTAGTAAAAGTAAACTGAAAAGTGAAATTATTTTTATTAACTCAGCAGGTTCACAATCAGTGAAAACGTGGTGTTTCAAGTCAATTTGAAACTGAAACTCTGAACACAACCTGCTCCTGACCAGGTTATGTGATATCTATGAAATCAACTAGATTTTATAGAACAAAGCTCAAACATGAATGATGACTAAGAACAAAAAAGAACAATAAAAACCAGCAAAAGTCATGCAATAATAATAATAATAAATAATAAAAGAAAAAAAGTGGTTGGAATCTTCCAGAATGGTCCAGCTGGAATCAGCTACAGACTATCGAGGAACTGTACAGATCAACTCTGTGAGGTTATCAGATACATCTTTAACATCAGTCTCGGTCTGGAGAGGGTCCCCATTCTGTGGAAGACCTCCTGCATGTTGCCAGTACCAAAGACAACATAACCCAAGGAGCCAAACCACTTCAGTTCATATATGATAATAATAATTAAAACCCCACCTCAGGTCCCGGCACATCCTTTATATGTAAGGCACCTAATTTGCTCAGGTGTGTCTCTCTCTGCAGGAGAGGAGCAACAAAAACAACACTGTGCCACAGTGAAAAACCGTGAACACCACCCAACTGTCTCATTGGCTTTTAGTTGAAAACTCTCTGCTTTAGTTTTTTCATTAGTAGCATCATCCTGGTTTTCTTTGGGTGCTTCTATTATTTCTGCTCCTGCTGGTCTCAGATGGGGTTTCTCTCTGATCTGAATTTGTTTAGTATTTCCTTCATGTTCTTTCTTTTCCTCCACATCGACATCTTTCTGTGTTGTAGCAGCACCACTTACCTCCCCTACTGTGTTTTGTTCAAACTTACTGTGGTCACCTTTCTCGTCTCCTTTTCTTTCTCTCCTGTCCTTCACATCTCTGATTTCTCTCTCTACACAAACATCATTATCAGGTGTGTCTCTCTCTGCAGGAGAGGAGCAACAAAAACAACACTGTGCCAAAGTGACAAACCATGAACACCACCCAACTGTCTCATTGTCTGCACTTGATTTAGCAGCTTCTATTTTTAGATCCACTTGTGGAACTTTGGTGTATTTTGGATGGTTTGTGCCATGTTGTTTTTCTTCTTCTCTGGGCTTGGCTGCACTTTTTGTCTGAGATTTATTTTCAGTGTGTCCTTCGTTATATTTGGCACATCTCTCAGAGCTGTCCTGTGAGGGTTTCCCTACACTTTCTATTCCCGTGTTCTTCATCTTTGTCCCAAAACATTCACCGTGAGAATTCTGCCTATTTTCTTCACGAGTTATTTGTTTGTTAATATTTGTTATAACTGTTCCTGACTTCTGTGAACCACGTCCTCCTTCTGTGACTCCCTGAATTTTTGGTCTGGCTTTTAGTTGAAAACTCTCTGCTTTAGTTTTTTCATTAGTAGCATCATCCTGGTTTTCTTTGGGTGCTTCTATTATTTCTGCTCCTGCTGGTCTCAGATGGGGTTTCTCTCTGATCTGAATTTGTTTAGTATTTCCTTCATGTTCTTTCTTTTCCTCCACATCGACATCTTTCTGTGTTGTAGCAGCACCACTTACCTCCCCTACTGTGTTTTGTTCAAACTTACTGTGGTCACCTTTCTCATCGCCTTTTCTTTCTCTCCTGTCTTCCTTCACATCTCTGATTTCTCTCTCTACACAAACATCATTATCACTTGAATGTGTAACACTGATCTCCTGCATGTTCAGTGTATCACTGTGTCTGTTTCCATGTTTATGACTCTGATCATCTTGTAGTATATTTTCTTTTCCTTCATCAACTTTTTCTTTATCCTGAAATGTGTCACAGCACATCTCTGCTGTTGGTTTATCAGCACTAATCTTTCCTTTTGTGTCATGTTGAAAATCTGTTTTTGTTTTCTCCTCAGCATGAGAAGAACTACAGGTTTGTTTATTCTCCTGATGTTCACATATGTTCTCTCCAACAGTGTCAGCTGGATGCTCTGCATGGCTTTTTTTCTCTGACTGTTTATCTTTAGCCTTTTCATCGTTATCTGCTTTATCATCCATTAATTTACTCATCTCATACTGTCTGCTTAGATCATCACAGACTGCTGATCGATCACTGCTATCAAGTTTAAAATCAATATTAATATCTATGCTGTTCTTTTCAGCATCATCCACTTCTGTATGTTTTTGATCCAGGTCATCACTTCCAGTGGTTCCTTTGTCCTCATTTGGTTCTTTGTCCAGAGGATCTACGTTACAGGGGGTGTCAGGTGATCCCCCTGCTTCTTGTAAGCGAGCAGTCTTTGGATTATCTGCGGTGTCTGTCTCCCTCCCATCTTCTCTCTTTCTCTTATTTTTCCCATCTTGACTCTGATCATATTCATTACTGATGGTGGGTGGTCCACTGGTGGACACATCTGTGGACTCTGGAATAGCAGTGTCTGCAGCATGAAGCACAAAGTAGAAACAAAATCATTCAGGCACCAAACAGCTGAGGAAACGACAACAAAAACATTTTCTCTTACCTTTCTTTTTGCTATAAAACAGAAGATATGTAGTCTGGGACCTAATTGACAAATATGACATGTAACAAATATGTTACTTTCACAGTTTCGCAGTGATGTGTTTGGCTAATATTTTATAACATATTTATTTTTTGCAGCAGTGTTTTCCGACGTATTAATATGTGTCTTTGTATGTTTACATTTTACTAACAGAGTAAATATTAAAAGATACACATAAATGTTTTAATTGTTTTCATTGATTTTATTATTTTGCTTTTGCACAGGAGAGTTTTGGGGACAGAGTTGAATCAATCACAGAAAAAATCTGCAGTTGTGATTATAGCAACAGTGTGATATGATACTTCAACATGTAGCACACTGTAATTGAGAAAAGTGTATTTAACGCATGTTTAGTGCATACTCGTGTGAAAAGTTAAGAAATAATTGGAAAATAATTTACAGTGGAAGTAACAAGTACGAAAACTTACCTCTCAGTGTCATCCAGCTGGAATGGCTGAAAATCAAGCTGATGATGTAAAAAATAATAAAGTATGAGATGAATGATGAGCTGGGCCACTGTCACGCATGAGTAATGTAGGAATGTCTTTTGGTATCAAAAATGTATAAGTGATCCATCTTACCTCTGTGACTCTGGCATCATCAAACTGATACCATCTGTCTCTGTGGTCCTCCTGGATCTTGATTGTGGCGGAGTAATGTCCACCTCTCAGATCCCCAAAATGATCCAGAAACGCATATAGTTCATATTTCTGACTCTGATTACAAAAGGAAAAATGGCAAACATCAGAATGACTGAAGAAAATAAAATGGATTATGATTAAATACTAAAATATTCTGCACATTTACCTCTGGTATCTGCAGGGTGTAGGGAACCTCCACAGAACAGGTGATTTTGAAGTATGACATGTAATTATAGTTGAACTCAAACCTCTTCAGCAGCAGACACAAAACATCTGGATGATGCTTTATTACATCTCTCTGAATGAAAAACATTTAATTTAGGACAGTTTTACTGATACAGCACCAAATCACAACAGTCTCCTCAAGGAGCTTGTCTGCTTCCATTACAAGTCAATATGGTTTCATAATTTTATTTAAAGAATAATAAAAGAATCATAAACTTTTTTAACTCACCATACTACCATCAACTTTGTCATCACACTGCTCACAGTACATCTGATTTTCTCCACAGAAATCTGAAGTTTTAAAAAACTCTTCAATGCCCTTCACCTGAAAAATGTTATTTAAAATCAGTTCAAACAATAATGTGCTGACCAGTGAAGTGAAGCTAAGAATCTTTCCTCTAGAAGGAAGATTTTCAACATGGCCTACTAACTTTATTAATTCAGACCTAAAGGTTAAGATGTATTGTTTAAGAGAAAAGTGAAAAGAAAAGCCATAAAGTAAAATTACCACTGGAGGGTTTGTTTTTTTTCTACTTTCAGCTCTGTACACCACCACAGTGGAGTGTAAATCAGTCAATATGTGACTAAAGTGCAGACTTTTAGATTTAATTCTTTTCTTTTTTTTAAATTTGTATGACCTGTATCAGAATTACAGCTTTTACAGTTTTTTTTCAGAGATCATTGCTGTATATTTTCTTGCTAAATAATCAGATACTTTAGACAAACCAGAAAACTCAAAAGAGTGGACATACATGATTATATACCTATATCCTTCATTGTGATTCCTTTCCACTCATTAACATCAAACAACAGTGGGAAACTAAGTTGGAAGTACAGCTTCAGACCTCTGGTAGGACAAAGCGCTGCACAGAATCTACTTAAGCAAAGCTAAATGTATAAACTTTCTGTTGTGGATTTAACAAAACAGTCATCATTTACTGGGGGAAATATAAAAATATTATATATTTTACTGGCAAAAGCATGTAAGTTCAAAATGTTTCTTCACAGCCGTCCTATCCTGGCAGACAGAAACATGCTGACAAGTTTGCAACTTGTCAGATCCTTACCACACTGTAGTCTTTACTGCAACAATCCACCAGTGAAAGAGGAAGATACCAAAATGGTGCATCTCTGTCAGTCTGTATATGACCTTTAGAGCAGGTGGTCTTGTTTATTAACTGACCGTGGAAGATCTGAAAATACAGATGCACAAAAATCTGTTCATTTTCTTTCAGTTATAATTAGAAAGCATTTGTTCACAACAAAAGTTGTTCAATGCATTTTATACTCTAAGGCAAAGACTCCACAATTAAAAAGTGATATATTGATCCAGTGTATAGATATAGATATCCTTTAGCATCGATGAAGACCTTACCTTTGATGCATCAGGACTGGTCATTCTTAAAATCCTCTCAAAGTACTCTGCAGCATCACGCTGTTCATACACTGTGACAAATGCATTTTTGTAAAAGTCATTTTGTAATTTTACCCTACAATTTTCCATTTTTATAATGATGAAATAATTAGATCAATGATAGTAATATTTTTAAAGTTACACTGCTCAGGAGTTTACAGTGTTAAAAAGGTTTTGTTGCTCTGTACCGTTGTCGATGCCCAGCTTGTTTGTTATTTTAAATGTGTATGCTGTATACTTCTGTAAGTCATCAAATAAGGCTTTCAAATCATGATCAAGGAATTCAGAGTGGGGATTTTCTCCAGAGTACCTACACAGGAAGTAAACATGAGTGATTAAAAATGCAACGTAAACGTCATATATGATAAATACAGAATCACGCTTAAAGCTGGACAACAAACCTTGTCACAGCCTCTCTGAAGTCTTTGGTCCTGAACAGCACCTGCAGCACACTGTTCAAGTAACATGTGGATCCTTGCTTTATCAACCCATGATACCCGTTAGCTGAGGGGAAGAGAGAATTCATACAAAGAAGATATATATTTAAAACATGAGCCTGGATCATAAAATACCCAAAGAGAAATAAACCAAAACAGTCAAACCCATTTATATTTTATTTATTTATTGATAATTTATTCTATAATTATTATATTTTAATTTCTACATATAGGAGTTTAACTGGGTATTTTTTATTTCGTTTTTCTTTTGTCGACATTACGCTAAAATATCTAATTTGCCACTTCTAGTCAAATCTAGTTGTTTGATGTGATCGGCTGATTGGGAAAGCACGTGCCGATTTATATTGTGTTCCAAACTTTACAGTGCGAGAGAAAAAAGAGAGCCAATAAAGAACTGCCTGTAAACCTCCGAAATAAATTACACTGACCCATAGATCAGGGCCATGTAAGGCTGGAGCATTGCCAGGAGTATAGTGGCCTCAGTAACTGGTCAACTAGAACAAGCAAAACTCTCTTTAGAGTCCGTGTCTGTCCAAACTAAGTAATAAACCTAGTGCAATAAATTGGTTAGAAAAAAGAATCTAAACATAACTTCAGAAATCCTGAGAGAGATCTATAATCAGCAATGTTCTATCTATTAAACATTTATGATGATAAGGATGTTGATGAAGGCTAAATGGAAAAAGCCAGCTCCAAGTACACGAGTAGGCTACTAAAAAAGACAAAAAGGAAATCGAAATTCCTGGACGCTGGATAAATATACAACTTATACAATACGCTTGAGGAGGAAAACAAAAAACAATCAAAAATGCTCTAAATATTTACTAAATCGTATTTGTTGTAAACAATACCTGTGTCCTTTCTGCTCATTTTCACTTCACTTTACTTGCTGTTCTGCTGAAGAAACTGCTCCTTAAAAGGAATAAACGGCAATTAACGGGAAATAAACAACAGCACATACAATCCTTCCTTCGGTTTATTTCAAGGCATTTCTCTGGATCCTTCGGAAACTACTTTATTCTCGGGGCAAACAAACATACTGCGACCTGCAGATCCAGTGAATTTAAAAGCACCGGAATACTTTCTCTTTCTCTTCTCGTCGAGTTGCTGCAATGTTGCCTTCATGCTGTGTTGGAAATCTCGAAATTATCAAAAGACAGCTAGATGACTGACAATGATTTACAGTTGTTTCCTTTTCAGAACCAGATTATTAAAAATGTGAATGAAGAACACCTAATATGTTCTGACTCACAAACACAACACACAGAAGCTATTAACATGGACTTCAGTTTCAATTGGGTAGTATATGAAATTTACGCAAGACAATGAACGCAGCATATGAAGTAATTGACAGGGTGAAAAGGAGATCTGGATTTCATTTTTACAAAGCTTATAATATTGTATTTAATGTACCTCCACAAGAAAAGATGTATTGTGAAATGTATTCATTGACGTCATCTGCGTCACTTTGAAATTCAACAACTGTTTTAATCTATGAAATAATTTTTAATCACAGATTTTCAGAGACAAATCACTCACTATGCTTCTTGCTCATGATTTAGAGAACCTCCTGCTGGATACACACTAGAGAAAACGTGAGAAAACGTGCCCTGCATTTATTAACGTATTATTACGGCTTCTGTTTTCTAAGGACCTCCAAATATACACGCTTAATCAAAGATGACACAGTTGAAATAATACAGTTTTATTTTATTCATCAGTGAAAAATGAGTGTATCAGAAGTGCTTTAAAACAAGGCTAAAATATATGTAAACAGTTGCGAGAGCTTTCACGTAGAGTCAACGGCATTGGCAGCTGTGGGTGGAGCCTGTCTCGCTCAGGCTCTCAGTCCTCCGGGAAGTCTCAGCACTACTTGGATAACAGACATATGCTGGATTCCATATTCAGACAGCGCCTTCTTATCTTCATCCAGATTCTTGTCTGTGAATATCAGCCGCAGATTCCCATCTAACACACAGAGAGTGAGTGAGAGAGAGAGAGAATAAGAGAGTTTCTGTCACGGACCCGGTTCCGGGGACTCGGGGTTCGTGAACAGTGTGTACCTTTATTGTTATTAGTGTATTGGATGTATGTTTGCTGCACTGTGCTCTTGTGTTCCATGCTGGTGTGGGTGTGTGTGTGGCTGGAGGATGAAGGACAGCCACCTGCAGGCCTGATGGGTGTGGCCCTGCCAGCTGCTGGTCACGCCTAGCTTCCCACACACCTGCTCCTGATCAGGATCGTCGGGGGAGCTACTTAACAGAGCGGTGGAGCTTCCTCCGGCGCAGGATCGTTGAGTTAGACTCCATGTCAGTGTCTCTAGTGTTGTTAAAGTGTATGCCTGCCGGAGTTGGTGCCATAACGGCTGCTTCTGTCGTTTTTTCCTCAGGAGAGCGAAACACTGCAGGACGCACAGGGTGACTGCGGTCAAGTGAGCCCTCACTTACGAAGTCGCAGTCAAGCTAGCCGCCCCGCCAGCCGCACCTAAAATGTTGTTGCACTACTCTTACGCATATTACGGTATAGGTGCCGACTGGCTTAGAAACGCAGTGTTTTCTGTCCTGACACTATTTTACTTCACAATCCACTCCCAGTTTTGGTTAATCTCCACTTTCACCCCTGTGATCCACAGCCCAAATTACTGTATGATTCAGAGAAAATTAACAATAAAATTTACCCAATTTACTCAACTATACTTTTAATGTCCTCATCTTTGAGCTCAGATTACAGGAAAACTGAAAGAGGTGACGCAGATATCTCACTGGATTCTGACTCTGGGTGACCCCCACTCTGCATGCTGTCATCCACAGCCAAAATTACTGTACAGTTTTTGAGAAAATTCATGGTAAAATCTTCCCATTTTGCTTTACTGTACTCTACATATTGACATCTTTGAGCTCCGATTACAGGAAAACTGTAAGAGGTGACGCAGATATTTCACTGGATTCTGACTCTAGGCTGTCGCCACTCTTCACCCTGTGATCCACAGCCAAAATTACTGTACGGTTTTTGAGAAAATTGATAGTAAACTTTGCACAATTTACTCTACTGTACTTTATATATTGACATCTTTGAGCTCAGATTACAGGAAAACTGTAAGAGGTGACACAGATATTTCACTGGATTATGAATCTAGGCTGTTGCCACTCTTCACCCTGTGATCCACAGAAAAAATTACTGTACGGTTTTTGAGAAAATTGATAGTAAACTTTGCACAATTTACTCTACTGTACTTTTAATATTCTCATCTTTGACCTCAGATTACAGGAAAACTATAAGAGGTGACGCAGATATCTCACTGGATTATGACTCTGGGTGACCCCCACTCTGCACCCTGTGATCCACAGCCAAAATTACTGTACGGATTTCTGATAAAATTAAATCCTATTCCATTACCAAACAAAATGAGTTCATTGAAGTATTTGCTTAACTACAAGAAATGTCTTTCCACACACAATTTAAATTTTTCAAAATGTCATTCACACACCACCTCAAGTATCAACTTCAGTTTTAGACATTATTTATTCAGTGCTTAATCACAACAATAGTCAACTTAAGGCACTTACATAATAAGTTAAACCTTACAATAATACATACAGAGAAAAACCCAACAATCATATGACCCCCTATGAGCAACAGTGGGAAGGAAAAACTCCCTTTTAACAGCAAGAAACCTCCGGCAGAACCAGGCTCAGGGAGGGGCGGCCATCTGCCTCAACCGGTCAGGGTGAGAAATTACATTTCTCAGATTACTGATTTCTCATATTACTACTACACAGTTTAGATACACTCAACAAAAATATAAACGCAACACCTTTGTTACTGCTCCCATTCCCCATGGGATGGACGTAGAGACCGAAAATTCATTCCAGATACACAATATAACCATCCCTCCCAAACAGTGGTCACAAATCAGTCCAAATGTGTGGTAGTGGGCACATCTGCCATATTGAGATAATCCATCCCACCTCACAGGTGTGCCACATCAGGATGCTGATCTGACATCATGAGTAGTGCACAGGTGTACCTCAGACTGCCCACAACAAAAGGCCACCCTGGAATGTGCAGTTTTTTGCGCTATTGGGGGTCTGGGGACCCAGAACCGGTCAGTATCTGGTGTGACCACCATTTGCCTCATGCAGTGCAACACATCGTCGCATGGAGTCTATCAGATTGTCAATTGTGGCCTTTGGAATGTTGGTCCACTCCACTTCAATGGCTGTGCGAGGTTGTTGGATATTCGTGGGAACTGGTACACGCTGTCGTATACGCCGGTCAAGCACATCCCGAACATGCTCAATGGGTGACATGTCCGGTGAGTATGCTGGCCATGCAAGAACTGGGACATTCTCAGCTGCCATCTGCCCTGAACAATGTGAACCATGATTCATCCGTGAAGCGCACACCTCTCCAACGTGCCAGATGCCATCGAATGTGAGCATTTGCCCACACAAGTCTGTTACGGCGACGAGCTGGAGTCAGGTCAAGACCCCGATGAGGACGACGGGCATGCAGTTGAGCGTCCCTGAGACGGTTTCTGACAGTTTGTGCAGAAATTGTTTGGTTGTGCAAACCAATTGTTCCAGCAGCTGTCTGGGTGGCTGGTCTCAGACGATCTTGGAGGTGAACCTGCTGGATGTGGAGGTCCTGGGTTGGTGTGGTTACACGAGGTCTGCGGTTGTGAGGCCGGTTGGATGTGCTGCCATATTCTCTGAAACGCCTGTGGAGACGGCTTATGGTTGAGAAATGAACATTCAATGCACGGGCGACAGATCTGGTTGACATTCCTGCTGTCAGCATGCCAATTGCACGCTCCCTCATTGCTTGTGGCATCTGTGGCATTTTGCTGTGAGACAAAACTGCACATTCCAGGGTGGCCTTTTGTTGTGGGCAGTCTGAGGTACACCTGTGCACTACTCATGATGTCAGATCAGCATCCTGATGTGGCACACCTGTGAGGTGGGATGGATTATCTCAATATGGCAGATGTGCCCACTACCACACATTTGGACTGATTTGTGACCACTGTTTGGGAGGGATGGTTATATTGTGTATCTGGAATGAATTTTCGGTCTCTATGTCCATCCCATGAGGAATGGGAGCAGTAACAAAGGTGTTGCGTTTATATTTTTGTTGAGTGTATCTAAACTGTGTAGTAGTAATATGAGAAATCAGTAATCTGAGAAATGTAATTTCTCACCCTGACCGGTTGAGGCAGATGGCCGCCCCTCCCTGAGCCTGGTTCTGCCGGAGGTTTCTTGCTGTTAAAAGGGAGTTTTTCCTTCCCACTGTTGCTCATAGGGGGTCATATGATTGTTGGGTTTTTCTCTGTATGTATTATTGTAAGGTTTAACTTATTATGTAAGTGCCTTAAGTTGACTATTGTTGTGATTAAGCACTGAATAAATAATGTCTAAAACTGAAGTTGATACTTGAGGTGGTGTGTGAATGACATTTTGAAAAATTTAAATTGTGTGTGGAAAGACATTTCTTGTAGTTAAGCAAATACTTCAATGAACTCATTTTGTTTGGTAATGGAATAGGATTTAATTTTATCAGAAATCCGTACAGTAATTTTGGCTGTGGATCACAGGGTGCAGAGTGGGGGTCACCCAGAGTCATAATCCAGTGAGATATCTGCGTCACCTCTTATAGTTTTCCTGTAATCTGAGGTCAAAGATGAGAATATTAAAAGTACAGTAGAGTAAATTGTGCAAAGTTTACTATCAATTTTCTCAAAAACCGTACAGTAATTTTGGCTGTGGATCACAGGGTGAAGAGTGGCGACAGCCTAGAGTCAGAATCCAGTGAAATATCTGCGTCACCTCTTACAGTTTTCCTGTAATCGGAGCTCAAAGATGTCAATATGTAGAGTACAGTGAAGCAAAATGGGAAGATTTTAATATCAATTTTCTCAAAATCCGTACAGTAATTTTTGCTGTGGATCACAGGGTGCAGAGTGGAGGTCACCCAGAGTCATAATCCAGTGAAATATCTGCGTCACCTCTTACAGTTTTCCTGTAATCTGAGGTTAAAGACGAGGA